GAAGACAGGAGAGCACTTGTCTTCAACGGCCGGACACAGTGACTGTGGCCACAAGAAGATCTCGCATCCAACACAACCAACGAGGCCTGCCCGGATCTCGCGACTGAACACACCAGCCAGGAACAGCAGTAAATTGGATCAGTGAAAATCAGGGGCAGTGAATCCAACGCATCTAATTTGATGACTTCTTTCCCTTTGGATTGCCATCGGAGCTATCTTGCTGCTGATGATGTTCTTGATTGTCTTTGCTCTTGTGGCCTTTTCACACCATGCCCCGGCAGTGTAGGAACGTCGGCATGCAGCTCACACGGTTGACGACCACCTCCAACATCAAAGTTCAAGATCTTCAGTCCCTCAAAAAATAGGTATCTCTGTGACCATGTGCTTACATGTTACTGGTTCTCTGAAATCACCGTAGTTAGCTTGGACAAACTAACCAAAGATACGAGTAGGAAGTGCTGAAGGCTGTGGACCTCCTTTGTCAAATGGACACATGTTTTGGTGATGGCATCAATTATGCGAACGGGCTCGCAAAAGAGTGGGCTGATTGGCTAGTGAAGCTGCCCAACGAGTTTCACAAGTCCATGTTCAAGCTGCCCAACGACCACCCAGCCAACTGACGAAAGTTCTAGCCTGCGAATTCCAATCGATCCCCAAGCATCGTTCCAGACGCATGCCCAAGAGACTTCAACAGAATGTCAGTCCCCGGCAATCAAATGCAATTGAGAATCGCCGATGGGATCTATCTTGAGGCCTATCCCAGCCCGCAGAAAAAATGGACCCCCTATCATCGGGTTTTCTCTATGAAAATTGAGCCCAACCGCACAAACACAAACATCTAAGGTGTTCAACTCAAGGTTTACCCTCCATCCAACAATCATGGAAAAAGGAACAACATGGAACAACCCCCTCCACCTTCGGAAAGCCTACCGCTGACGGAGGCGCTCCGGAGGCGCATACCGCCTTACACGTGATCCTCCGAGGGCGCATACTTGCCGAACTGGGCCGTGCCTTGGGGGCGACCAAGGTCCAAAGCGTGGAGTCGCTCGGCGTGGAGTGTCCACCACGTGGCTTCGGTGTGAAAGACAAGGCCAGTTTCGCCTGTTTTTGGAGGTCCAGATGTCCTGACAGGGACTCCGTTCTTACAGAAACCGTTTTTGCAAGATCAGGTCTTTGGCCAAATGGTTGTATGCTATCATATACTATCTATATACATTTACATGATATGCCAAGTGGAAAAAAAGAAAAACTATGTTGTACAAGTACAGTCTGTTTGTAAGATCGGTTCCACAAAGACATAAAATATGGACCAACAAGCCGTGGCTTTCGTCGCCCTTCAAAAGAACTGCAGTCAGTTCTGTAACCATCTGGATTGCAAACATCTGTTTCCGCATCCGTCATATAAAATCAATCAGAATGCTGGAACGACAAGGGTGTGTGGGTCTCGCCAGTGTCGCATGAAACACCGCCAGTGACAGACGTGTTTCCAGAGCTTGTGCCAAGGGGCGCAAGTGGAGGGCCAAATGCTGTGCCTTGGCATGAAGTGGATGTGCTACAGGGCAAACAAGTCAAATCCCACAACAATCATGCGATGGCACGCACTCCGTCTCTGTCCTAAAAGAAAACATCAAATGAAACATACAGCAATTTAGGTGGCATGGAGCAGTTCCAATGACTCTAGAAAGGCGTAAGGTCGAATTTTCATGCTTTAAGCTCCTCTGGGCGTGGCTGCAAACGCCCAGATTTCGTGGGAAGACAGGTGTTTCCTGGGTGTCATGTGGCTTGGGACGAAAGTCACCTGATGGTGACCGAAAAAGACACCATCCCAAAAGGCCCCGCGGTGCCTCTCCCTCGCTCAGAACGCCATTATGACCTCGGAATGCGGTGAGAGGAGGGTGTGGGAAACACTGGTGCCACACCCAGGAAGCTGGTGATGTGGGAAGAAAACAAGTACAAAGTTTGCCGCCAAGGCGATAAGTGCCAAATCCAGTGAAAAAAAAAAATATGAAAAAACGACGTGAAGTCAATGAGCCAATGCTGAAATAAATGGCACCTCACAGGTGCCACATCATTCTCCACGGCGAGACCTGAAAATTATCATATGCCAATCCCCAAGCTTTCCAGAATCATCGGAAGATCCCTCGCCCGAAAACCGAAAACCGAATGGTGGATGCGAACGTGGCGAGGCCCGTGGCCTCACAACGTGGCCTGCACGCGCTGCGCGTGCAGGACTCCCCAAGAAGACTTCTGCGGCAGTCGTAGTCGTAGACATCAACGGTAGTCGTAGACATGGGATGACATGCTAGCTGCTAACGACCAACCCTTCACAACCAGCAGGTCGATCAGAGTCTTCCCGGCCCTTGCGGCTTTTTCAGGACTCACCCACCCAACACGGGCCCACCCTCAAGAACACGAGGCCCCGGACCACAGTTGAGGCATGCCTCGGGAGGCATACCAACAGGTCCAACAACTCATGAAATCCAAAGCAAAGTCGAGATCATGCCAAAACAAGGTCCCAGGTTTGGCAAGCAAAGCTCAGGTGCCCCAGTGCCACTTGTTGGAATCTGACTTCGGGTCAGGTTCTAGCAGAAGCCATCAACATCCAAGAACTGGAGGCTGGAGGGTTGTCACTTCATACTCCTCATCCACCTGCCCCTGGAGCAAAACAGTTCTTATGTTGTGGCTGAAGAGGCTCATACCACCATAGCCGCCTTTGCAGCTTGGTAGTTGAGACTCACCGTTGGTCGCAAGTTGGAACCCTTCCAAAAACTATGGACACATGAGCTTGCCGCGAGCCAAACATACATTTTTGGGCCCCAACATTGGTGGTGAATCGATCAAAGAACCAGGGCACCCAGACCTTTCTTGCAATGCTCCGACATTCTACCCTGACCCTTGGTTTTACAAAATGAGACACAGTCTCAAGGGAGCCTCTTCGACCGATTGAACCGACCGGCCGAGAACTGGACCAAGCCTGGTGACTGGTGAAAACCCGTCCCAGTTTATGAGAAGTATGATTCAAATGCCCAAGAACGTTGCAAGTTGCAAGTCCACATGTTTGCTTTTCGATAACAACTATAACTATGAGGCTTTGCACCTCGATCCAGTCTATCCACCCGATTTCCGCGGCGTTCTGAGCGCCCCAGCTACATAGCCCGCCCACGAGCGGTCTATGCTGGGCTTTGGCACATGGGCACGAGCACCTGGGCATTCTCGTGTGAACAGAGGCAGCATCACTCCCATTCGAATCAGTTGAAAAGCTTTCTCAAGTCGGGCTATGATTTGATATCAGGATGGAGAAGGGTAGGCCAAGTGGTCTTGCGATTTCTTGTTCCTGGTCGGTGGAATCATCTTTTGCAACTTGGTTTAGCTGCAAGGCTGCAATGCAACAGCCTCATAAGAAATATCTGCGCAAACCAATTAAATTCTATGCCACCGTGCCGGTTCTGCACTTCAGCATGCCTACTGCACGCACACTTTCCGGGCCGAAGAAATACAACCACAAAGCATGCAGGGGACAAGGCCCAGGCAAGGCGGTGGTAGAAGGGCCGACAACGTGACAGACCCGAACAAGGCCCGGCCAAGCAGGACACACAGACCTGGACAAGGAGGCGCGGCAACAGAACAGAACGCAAACTGTTTTGGGAACAAGAGGAGGACACTGGCCAGCGTAGGGGTTTCCAGCGCTGCCAGAAGACAGGAGGACAAGAGAAGGGCAGCGGGTTCCGAAGCACGGCCAAAGGACATTTGGAGGACAAGAAGAGGACAACAGGAGGACAACACCCGGACACAAGGTTCAGGGGCGTGGCCAGAGACTGTGGCCAGCGTCTTCTTTCCTAAGAGACGTGCCCGGTTGCCTTCCGTGCACCTCGGAGCCACACACGCTTCGATGTTCCGCTTTCTGCTTTCGATGTTGAGAGCCACGCGCAGTTCTGGTGATTGTGAAACGGACCCGGATGTCCTCCTTCCCAAAACAGGCATAAAGCTCCATGCTATAATTACACTCGATCACCCCATCCCGAAATCAAAACTGCCACCAATCAAAAACCAAGTCATGACTCGTCAAGGGCATGTGCAACTCGTCATGACTGGACCGTCCGTTTTGGACCGTCCCATGAGTGCAGGTTGGATACCTCAAACAGGAAACGGTCGGTGGGGGAACGCCAAAAAGCCCATGGCTCAAGCCCATGAACTGCTCGGTGGGAGATCCCTCCAAAATCCGACCAACAGCCCACGGCCTGTTCCACCCCTGCGTCGATCCACGGAACCATTGCTGGAACCATCGTTGGAACGATGCAAACTCTGTTGAGTACCCAAGTGGCCCTCTTCAGAATCATCGCTTCCAACCTGCAGCAGTGGTTTTGCTCCCACCTACTACACAAAGCCCTGAGAAGAAAAGAACCTGCACATACGCTGCATGTAAAATTGTAAAAGCATGCAAGTGTGGCAGCCTGATGCCCACATGTGACCAAAACCATGTATAATAGGTAGGCCTTAAATGCAAAAAGAATAACGGACCTTTGTGGTCCCGCATGTCATGCAACCCCAATTGGGCACCTCCATGAGAGCGGTAGGGCTCCGGTTCGGCCTCGGTTCGGACAAAAAGGGACATGGTCCGGGATGTGATGCACAAGATGCACACAAGATGCACATTCGCACCATCTGCACAACTGAAAGTGTGCACAGACTCGGTTTGAAGACTTGCGAGTCGCGATTCTAAGGGCACAAGAGAGAAGGTCTCAGGCCCTACGCCCGCAAGAGATTCATCAGACTGAACCCCGCCCTTGGTCTCAGGCCCTACGCCCTCGCCTCAATTTCATGAGCAAACGATCTTTGTGCATTTTCTCCAACGGGGATGATGCATAACAAGAAGATTGTTCGTCTGTCTATGTGCTCTGAACTTGCAAGTGAACATCGTACAACATCTGCTTGTTCATCTCAAAATGGCCGCCCAAGGTTGAATCTTCTCCAAACACGGTATTTCCAAGCGAAAGGGTCGTTCAAAAGCACGGGCTTGCGCTGAGTGTCTTCCAGCAATGCTCAGCACCCGCACCTGAATCCGGTCGCTCCAGATCCCCTGCCCGCTCCGGAGTGGAAGAGCTAGCATTGGCCAACGCTCCGGACCGTACCGCAGAAGGAGGACGTGTCGTGCAAATGTGCCAAGCACAACACCTAGGACCCAAAACCTCGCCTTGGCCACTGATGTCCACGCATTTAAAGAAGCGGTAGATGGCTGTCATGAACTTCTCCACCTCCAAGGAACATGCATCACGCTCGGAAACCGGTGGATAAGGTGGAAAAGCTTCTGAAAATACGAACCGGTGCTGGTGTGCAAGTCACCTGGAATGGCACATGATATAAATGAATTCCTCGCGATGTACTAATTCCTTGTGGTTTTCAGACTTCGTAAGGCAAATCGACTGGCCAGACCTTGCGCCGAGACACGGTCGGCCGCTCTCACAAGTTCCACTGTCTCCACTGTAGTGGGATGCCACTGGAATGTACACTCTTGATTAATAACCCCCCCTCATATGAACACCCAAGTGGGGTGGGTTTATTAATCAAGAGTCTACATTCGCCTCCACCTACCTCTGAGCCCTTCAGCTCACCGACCCACCGTCCCACCGTCCCCCTGGAAGAACCCCCGTACACTGTACACCGTCCGACCGTCACACCCACCTCTCGGAGATGCGTCAAGACCGCCGCACTCAGTGGGCAGTCGCCCTGCGCCACAGAGGCATCCTGGAGAGATGGCACGGCGACGGAGAGAGGTCGTGGCGATGGAGATCGATGGCAAGTGGGAAGATGGATAGATGATAGATGGGATGATCGTTCTTGGAGGCCAGGGTGGTATGCCATGACATGTGCATGTTGATGATCATTGAAGCGATGAGACTGCAGCTCAATGGATGTGACTCCAAGCATGAGATGTTGGTTCACTGCAGAACCAAAAAAGACCGGCGTGCTCTGCCATGACTCCGTGAAGCTCCACGAACTGCCGCCCTGTCACAGGCAGGGTGTCGGTTCCACAATCAAGACTAATTAGACGTGATCTGTTGCAATAGAAATCTTGGCTGATGAGAAACATCCTGGTTTAAGGATGTCAAGCTACTAGCTTCATCTCTTTCACTACCAGCTGCTGCGTGAGAGTTTTCCTTTGCGGTGGGCATGTGTTTTCGGGGTTGGTACCATGTTGCCTGCACTGTGCGGCTTTTGTGTGGTATGGGACTACCCCATCTCACACTCCAACCATGTGTACAGTGCTCCCAGGGTTTCCAGTAGCGGCTTTCTAGTTGTGTCAGCCGCACTGGCTGTTCTATGGGATCCTCAATCATCGCTTTTCCGCTTTTCCAACTGGTGATCCCAATCCAGGAACCCCAAAGGGGGAAGTGGAAGATATTCTCAATGACACTACCAGCTTCTCTCGGTGAAACATCGAGTTCTCTTGGTGAAACATCGAAACAGATCGAAACCGAACACCGATGGACCTGGACCTGTGGACTGTGAAGATCTTCACAGAGCTTAATGTAGACTCTTGATCAATAAACCCTTCCATTTGAATGCACGGACTTGCGGACTGTCTCCAGCACGCGCCCTTCTTCATATGGGGGTTTATGGTCCTCAAAGAGTCTACATTATGAAAGGAAGGGACCTTCGCATCTTCTATACCCTTCTGCACCCCGGCGCTCCAGACTCCGCTGCAGCGCGGAGAGCTGCTGCCGGAAGTCTCGACGCACCTCGTAGCACGAGGGCGGGTGCTGGAGTGATTTCTTGAGGAAAAAGGGTGTTCTCTCTTGGAGGTGAATGCGGACACTCCGCGCCAGAGAATTATTTCAGGTGTCTTGCGCCTTCTCACAAGATCCGACCGGAACATGACGTGTGGTGGCACTCCCGAACCTCGAAGGTCTGGGACTGAAACCCCGTCTCAGACGTTCGCTCCAGGCTCTCCCACACGGGCCACTCCAACTCGCGCCAGCTGTCGATGGTAGTCGGACATCCTCTGTGCGAGGCGAACCCGCTTGTCCACCGTCACCACGGGTCTCGGGGTGAGACGAGCGTGTGCAGCGGTGCTGCGGGGATCAGCGCGGCGGAAACGAAAGGAATCGATTCCTGGTCGGACTGAAACGGACGATCTGGTTTGAGATCTGTTGCAGGTGTCCAACTGGGTGGCGGTTGATCTGCACACAGGCTGAATAGTGGCTGGCAACTTCAAGCTGTCGGAAAGAAATGGTTTGATCAGCGCGCGCGCAGTACGGAACCACAGCGTGCCGTGCGCACTTCGAGTGGTCGTAAACACTGCTGAAACCCCCCGCATCGTGGCATATTCTAATATCATCCCTGGAAGTCTAAAACCTTTTTAAATGGTTGATCTGCTTTCGTAGTGTAAAATATCTAGCTTAGTGAAAAAATGGTTGTTCGGCAAAGGCTATAAACATAAATGGTGGTTCAACTTCTAGGGTCATGTGTCATCCCAACACAACGCTGGCTCCCCGGTCCATCAGCTGTCTTCGTCTGGCCCAACGACACGGAACTTTCATCGCCTCGACGGCGTCAACTGCTCGGCCACTTTCGCCAAGCGCGCGCTCATGGACGCCGTGGTACCTGGGGCTGCACCAGGGGCTGCACCAGGGGTGCCAGCGAAGGGACACGACTTGACTGTCCCGAGAAACCAAGCAGCGACCCGCCTGCTTGCCGCCGCAGACGTCGAGAACATCATAGAGAATTGGGTGTGGACCATCAATCCAGTGCCATCATCAATCAATATCACACCGATTCGCACCTCCTTCACCTCCTGGGGCTCCACGCCACTGAGACCTCTGGCCAGGAAGAGCTCCTGGATCGTGAGGCTTCAGAGCTTTGGAACTGAGATGGTTCACCACCTCTCTTGGACTGTCCAGTACCACCTCTCTGGACAGTACCTCTCTGGACAGCTGGGTACATCGACGTGTGAACACCGCCCGCTCCAGGTCATCGTCCACGGCGGTGCGCGGCATAGGGCTGAACTCCCCCGAGGCGCCCTTAAAAGCTGGGCGGAGGGATTGCGATGGGGAAACCAGTTGGATGTGTTATTGTATAGGATGTATATATATATTATGATTATTATTATTGTTATTATTACTATTATTATTAATAATATTACTATTATTATTACTATTACTATTATTATCATTATTACTATTATATATATATATAGGAGAATGGGCAATGGAGCAGTCTGTGGCAAGGCTCCTCGTTGATCTTTTGGCGGGCGGAAAGGAGGGACAAGCACTGCAGGTCAAAGGAAACATCAAACATCTTGTCAGTTGATCTTTTTCCAGCAACGTCGCTTGCGTCTGTGTGAGATCAGGTTTGGCAATATGATCCCTAGTTTGTGCATGTTCATCATCCTGAGGGTTCGGTTGTGGCATGGCAGAGCGCCCAAAGATGACTCCGGGATCTTCCCGAACTGTGCGGCGCTGAGTCTGCCGGCCCGGAGGGCCAAAGACCCCCACACCTGGCAGAACAGCCCTGGTGGGTGGGTTATGATGGAGTTACACTCCCTGAAATAATCATGGAAGTGGATGGCACAGCCCCTTGTTCCTCGACAAATGTGGTTTTCCACTTCCATGATTACTTCAGGGAGTGTATGGTGCTCAACAAGGGACAACCTAGAGAGGCACCTTTCTTTGGGGGACCACAGCCAGCAAAAGGAATGCTATATAATATACAGCATCAGTTGCACATCTGCATTTTAGTTTCTTCTGGAGAAATTCACCAAATCTCAACATGTCTTGGAATCATGTGGCCCTTTTCTGTTAGAGTAGGCGGTGGCTGTCCAGCCCTGATTCAGTAGGATTCGTTATTATTTTCCTCCGAAAAGCGTGCCAACAGGTGAGGTCTGTTGAGCTCTGAATCCTGCCGCGTCCCGGACGAGTCGTCCGTGTGGTTTTGCTGATCCCAACAAGTCCCCAGTCGTCAGCCGAGATTGCACTGAACACCATCTGTTCGGTGATGATTGATCATTCAAGGTGAATGGTAGGACCTGGTAGGATTCTCGATGAACACTTCATTCACCGAGAATCACCCCATCTGTTCCGACGATTCCAGTTCAGTGGCCCCAAAAGAGCCACCGGCTCAGCGGGACGCCGCTCCACGAAGAAACACGCCGCACCTGCAAGTTGCACAAGAAGCACTGCAAGGCTTCAGCAGCATCCTCCTGCAGCTCGTGGAAGTGACTTGTGAACTATCCCAGCTCGCGGCAGTGACGCAAAGACGTAACGAGAATAACACGGTAATTCATATTAGTAGAATGGGCGTAGAATGCTAGAATCCAGAAATGTGCACTCAATTATATACACGATATGCCTTTTTGCATGTGTTTGTTTGTATGGCGTTTGATCAAACAATTTTTGCGCTTCTTTGGGGACCCTGAAAATCCTTGAAACATGAATCAGGAGCTGGCCAAGCTATTGCTGACTGTCAATGTATGGGAGGAGCACTCATGGTCCATGATAGGCTGAGCTTTTGTCAAGTCAAGCAAGAGTTGTCTATTGGGAGCTTGCTCCTCCTTCTCAATCCTTTGCTGAGTTCTGGTTGATTTGATTGGTGTGTCCCAGACTTCTGAAGTTTGGGCGATCACTTTCACCAAACCCTATTGATATCAAGCAGGTGAAAGCCTCGGCCACTTTCAGCGGGACTTCTCATGTCCATGGTTCTCAACTGACATTGAAATGACGAACGCCTGGGTTAACCACATGGCTCATCTCATCCAAACACAGCCACCCGGCCTGATGACCTCCTAGGGCCTCATCTAATGGCAGGCCACTCGCGTTGAACCTACCATGTCGCGCAGCGGCCGACGGCGACTGTGTCCTCCAGTTGTATTCCACATTACAAAGTGAGTTGCTCCAAGTGGTCTAAAATGGTCTAGACATACAGAGAAAAATAGTCATGTAGTAGTCCCGGGAGTCTTTGGGGAGTCACGTCAAAGTCAAAGGGACTAGCTTCAGCGTTTGGATACGTTTCTTGGATGGTGGACCAGGAACGATTGGAGCTGGACCAAGGAATTCCGGTCCTCGGCAGTTGAGGTCGCCCAAACGACCCAGCAAGGCCAAAAGCGGTAGGTGCTCAAGCGCAGCGACCACTTCCCTCAAAGCGTTCTGATTGGACCCTTGGGAGGTGCTGAAAAACAAAGGAAAAATGCATCGATTTGAGGTTTTGGGGGGGCACCTGCCGTTCAGCGAGGGATGGGGGCAGCTACAGCAGGACTGTAGGTGTTCGTGGCCTGGAGATTCTATCGAAGCCTTCCAAACATGTTTCCCATCCATTTCACATCACCCTCAGACACCGATGCTGGCCTGGAGCCCAAACTGTCCACGGCCTGGCAACTCGAAAAGGAGGCGGCCATTCGTACAAGACTCACTTCGCTCTCTAGGCTCTCTTGACGAAGAGAAGGAACCACTTTTTTGAGCTCGGCAAATTTCTCCTCAAGGTCAGAAACTCAAAATTGCACGACCAAGAGCAAACCAAAGAAGGTTCAAGTGACTCATCAAACCATACCCAAGGGCAACCGTTCCTTTCTTTGGTTCGACAGAACCATCTTCTTAGGACTGCCACCTGTGTTTGGCATTCTTCATCCTCGAATTGCAAAACCCACCTATGATATTCTTTGTTCACAAACTGTACTGGACCCCCTCATGCAAACATTTGGCTAAGGGATGCTAAGGGCTATGGGTCAAAACACCGCAGTTGGTTGATCACGAACATGAAGCAAGACTGATTGGTCCAAAGCGTGGATAAAAGTACCCAGCCGGGCCGATATCGGCTGGGGCACCTTGAGAGATATTCACCACCTGGTTTCTCCACCTCCCAAACCTGCTTCACCCCCCCCAGTTCTTCCATCCACCGACGAAGGGCGCTCTCTCTTCTCTCGGACCTGGCGAAGGAGGTCGATGTGGGGTGACATGGTGAAGTGCACAAAGTCGCTGTGCTCCTGCAAAGCACGAGCACGTCGTTGATCGAGGAGCCGGTTGCGCAACCCGAAACGAAACGAAACGACCTATGAAAGGGGCTGGGACGGTACGATCCCCGCTGGGTGAAGAACATGTTTTCTGGCTTCTTGCGTTTGGGAACTCTGGAAGGGTCAACATGACCCCAAACCGCATCACGTGCATCTTTGACCTCCTTGGTAGAAATGACAGCAGGGGAAACCCGAGCCACCGAAAACTCAAACCACGAGCACGATCAGCCAGTCGTTGACAAACATGGAAAAGCTCGTGCCACCTGCATGCTCGAAACCAACACCGGAACACCGGGTCATAAGCAGGTGCGTGTTGTGGCAACATGAAGGGATTTGGCCGTCCACAAGAAAGGAGGGTGTTTCATGTTATACATTGCAATACTATTATGGTGTTCTTTATAGATATATGGATATATACACTGTATATTCATATATATATATATATACACTTTTATTTCTACATCATGTCTTTTGACCGTATTCCTGCGTTCATTTTCTGGGTTTATTGCAACAACTACTTTCGGAGAATCCTCTTCACAAGGTAAACCAAAGTTTTCAAAGTCAGATTGAATGAGTGTGTGTGTGTGTGTCTAAGGGACATCAAGCCTTGTGCACAGCAGGTGGTTCAGGCGCCTGTTACCTGTGGCTGGCAAACTGGATCAGGCGTTTTCGAGTGGCGTAGAATCCAAGAACGAGATCTTTGGAGGATCTTTGGGACTCACTCATCTTTCCCCAGCCCTCACCATCAGTTCACTCTCTTTTACACCTCTTTTCCCCAGGTTTCTTCCCTCCTGAAGCCACTGCACCGTCACCTTCGCCGGTGTCGGTGGCCGGGCCACCAGCCGCGAGTCTTCGTCACCGGCCTGCGGCTCCCCACTGAGGGCGGCAAATGATGCCAAAGGATCGATCAAAAAGAGATCCACCTTCAACTGCATGCAGCAAGGACGCTACTAGGAACAAAGGGCATCGCTACTAGGAGCAAGGACGCTACTAGGGCTCCTGGCATTACTACTAGTAACAAGAAGCTACTAGGAGCAAAGTGCGGAGGACCCATGTTAGACGCATGTCCTGTTATCTTACCCTGGAGGGAACTGTTGGCCTCCCTGGAGCTGTCTCGACTTCGGAGAGTCGAAAGCATGTCAAGCAAGTGGCTCACCAAGAATGGATCCCCAGCCCTCAAGCCTTTCATTCCCTTTCATCACCCCTAATGATGCAATTACCCAATACCAACCCCCAAATAGATTGAAAAGTGATCCTCCCCTCTTACGAAAAGTCTTGAAAGATCATGGCTATGGTGAACATCATTCTATTTGGAGACCCCTTTGGTCCTCTCTCTCTCCTTTGCTTCGCCTCAGCGGTTTCAGTCTCGACCACCGGCTTCCCCACCACCGGCTGCCGGGCGGAGCGCTTGGATTCCCCGAAGCGCCTGAAGAAGGAGATCGGTGCGAAGCAACGACTCCAGCGACGGAGGAAGGGAACAGTATATGGACCACTGGAGACGGGGGAGGGGCGGGTAGAATACCCAGTGGTTTTTTTTCTGCAAACCTGTAGGTGTTCAAGTCTTTCTGCGCACGGAGGGGAGGGTTCTTTTTTCCCTGCCAAGCTGCATGTGGAAAGCAGCTTTTCTTCGTAGCATCGTTGTTGCCAGACCTTTTCAACCTACAACCTGCACTCAGACATTGGACCTGCGATGGAAACGAACGAGCGAGATGGAACTCTCTCTTTTTGCCCAAGCGGCGGTTGGCAAACACATCCGCCGTCGCAGGCATCGCAAATGGAGAGCAGGACCTGGAGCGCGGCCGGCAGCTGTGGCGAAACCATCCATGACCTGGTGGTTGGTTGCTTGGTTGGTTTACTTGCTTGCTTTGTTTGCATGTTTGCTTGCTTCATCCCTTGCTTGTATGTTTGTGTTTCACTGCTGCCAGAATGGGAGCCCTGATCCCCTCTTGGAGGAACGAACAGGGAGTGGAAAGGAGTGCTAAAGCCACCAAATTCACGGACTTTGATCACAACTATCACCCAAACATCAGAACCAGCAACTGAACCACCCACCCGCAGGCTTGCCACCACCGCATCCGTACCGCAAAGGGCGGCGCCTCGAAGAAGGTCCAGGCTTCTGCCATGCGGTCCAAGCCCTGAAAAGCCGTGGGTCGTTGAGCCACGGGGGGCTCTCCCCAGTTGATTAATATATATATATATATATATATGAATACACCCCCATATGACCCATATGTTGGGTCTATCCTATCATATACCAGGATGATAATGGTTAGTAAAGGCAATAGGACACCCCGAACCCAGGAAGAAAACACTGGAACGCTGAGGATTCTTAGAATTCTTGTAGTCGAGCTCTGAGATCCTGATGGAGATCCAGCAGCCCCAGATAGGCCAAATATGGTAGACAGTGGACCCGAAAATGAAGAAAACAAACGTCCAAGCCATAGATGCCATGCTACGGTGGTTACAGTAAGCTACCGTGGTCCACCTGTCCAGCTATGGTTCGCACCGGGCGCTGCGTTCGAGCCAACCGGGTGCTCCCGGCACCGTTGCAGCGCCCACTTCGCCCCGGGCCGGGCCTCATAGGAAAAGCGCTCGCTGGAAGGCACCTGGGCCACGCCGAACGCCGAACCTCTCGGGTCACGAGGTGGTCGGAGGGGGTCCCGTTGTTCCTCACGTTGGAAGACATGACGTCCCCAACTTCGAAAGGCTCTCGCACTTGGAGGAACCCAGAGAAGGGGAGACTTCCAAGTGTCAATGCTTGCAGCTTGCATGGATCCATCCCGATCTCAAAGCACATAGTCCAAAAAGGATTTTCTTAAAGCACATAGTCCCTCAAGTTGTGAACATGTGTGTCAGCATGTCGGTGAAGATCGAGTCAACACACCATCCCATCCGTCCCAATCCGTCCCCATCCGTCCACCTGTTCCAAGACCTTCTGGGCCACTGCCGTGCGCAGCGCAGCGAGGTCCGGGATGGTGGCGTCCTGCGCGAATCGAAGCGGAAAAGGAATTGGTAAAAGATCTGACTGTGAATTCCTGATAGGAATGGCCTCCAACCTAGAAGCGATGGCCTCCAACCTACTAGCGATGGCCTCCAACAAAGATCTACGAACGAAATAGAAGTCTCATGCCTGGTACGGGCAAGATACGGCCAGTTCACCTGGTAGAAGTCTTCTCAAACATATATAGCATATATTATATAGGCATAAAACATCCACTGGGATGGTTCTATTTCCCACGAAAACATCCATTGGGGTTTGGGTTGTGCCTTTCAGTACACCTTGTTGAAGTTTCAGAGCAAAGTCATGCCTTCGAGAAATGGTGCGATAGCATATCTTTCAAAGTTGACGCACGCACGGTGCGGGTGTTTTCTTCCCATGAACAACTGTGCCGCATCAGGGGACTTTGAAACGTGGACTCACTGTATCACCACATTCGGAACGGGTGTTCTTCGTGCCTATCTGCTCCAATTGTGTGATGAAAATTTCAGATGTTAAGTCACATGTAAACTAAAATTCTAAAATAACTGTGATTGGTGGAGACCTTGAAACCCTGTCCTTGGGATCGCACAGCATCACCTTGTAGCACTTGGTGTTGACATAGTTGGAGACATTGTCCGCCCAAGTGGCTGACAAAGACAAGCCCTGTTCAGGGCGCGTGGGAGAAAAAGTAAAAACTTGGGAGCCTCGTGGCGTGCTTTGCTGAAGTCGCCACTGACTACCAGAACTATTGTGAATCTGCTAGCCTCCAACACATGTGTGTCTACAGTACCTAGTCAACTACCTCTCCACCCCAAACCCTTCGTGAAAACAACTTTGTAAAAAAAAGAAAAAACACTGTGATGGGGAGGGGGAGCAAAAGAACACCCCACGTCCACCAATTTCAACCAGAGTAGGTTCATGTCCTGGACCAAAGGTGTCCCTTGTGACCTCTTACGGAGGGGGAGCTTTCTTCCGGACCTCAGGTGCCATGACGCTGTGCAGGTGTTGCTTGTGGTCTTCTATAGAAGTTGCAGAGAGCGAGAAAGAAAGGCAAAACAAGAGTTGGTCTAATCAGGTCGAGAAGGGAAGAGAAGAGAAGCGACGCGACACGACGCCAAGCCAAGCCAAGCCAAGCCAAGAGAAGCGAATAACAAGCAAGACTTTCTGCAAAAATAAGAAGAGTCCGATCCACGTTTCGCAGCATGAGCTCTCTGCCTTGGCAGCCCAATCTCCAAAGGTGTACTTCGCCGCCTGCGGCCGCTCAGCCGACGAGGGTCGTCCCATCGGCGCTTCCCTGTCCGAAACGTCTGCCATTCGTAGAACCAGCAATTCGTCCTGTCTCGGGGATCTTCACCTTCCATTCCAATGCCTTCAAAGTCCCTTCCATGGAACAAATCGATGGGGTTCCATCGGTTGGTTCCATCGGTTTCACCAACGTGACATCATCAGGTCTCGACGGACGCCTCGCCCTCCACGGACGCCTTCCCGCCCGCCTTGGCCAAGGTTGAGAAGGTACGGTCAGCGACCAGGACCTGGGCCCCCGGTGCCAAGGGCGGTCAATGGACACCCCGAATCACCTCTTTTCGGAGCTATGTCCTTAGACACCACGAATCGGGGGCCCAGGTATAGTCTATAGTCGTCTAGTGAGTTCTTGCTCGGTGTAGTGAGTTCTCACTCAAATCGATCGAGTCCAACCTGCGAAAAAAAAAAAAAAAAAAAAAACAAGCGAGTAACCGGTGCGAAGTCGGCCATCCCACCTTCACGATGTCGGGATTCTTTCGGGCAATGCCTTAGAGAGCGCGAGCCGGCAGACAAAGAGGAAAAAAACAATGAAAACTCAAAAAGACACAGGAAGAAGTCGAAGTAGGCGAAGAAGTCGAAGTGTCCAAAGTACAGGCAGAGGCTGCGAAGGGTGATGGCGTGTTTCACGCAACACGTGGGCCACGGTCGAAAGGCGCTCTTTTTTAGCTCTTTTTTCGCGTTTTTTGGTCGCCGGTTTGGGAAGGAGGTCTATTTGACCACTCCAATGACCACTCACATGGGCACAAATATGACGACGACTTGAGGAGTGACTACTGTAAATCATAAATGCCTGATATATTGCAAGGAGATCAGAACTGAGAAACGACTCCGTCGCTGTGGTCATGTCACTGCGTTAACCTCTTCTTCCTCTTCTTTTTCCTCCTCTTCTGCTTGTTCCTCCTCCTCCTTCTCCTTCTCCTTCTCCTTCTCCTGCTCCTTCTCCTTCTCCTTCTCCTTTTTCTCCTTCTTCTTCTTCTTCTTCTTTTTCTTCTTTCCATGTGCTTCTTTCGTTTTCTTCTTGGAACTGGAACGGCAAATCATGCTTCGCATTGTGTGCGCCAAACTGGCTGGGTGAAAGGTCATCAGAAGCGGTCTTCAACAAAAACATTTGCCAAACTATGCCAAACTCACCCCCCAACAACCCCTCATATGGGCTTCTCAGGTTCCTAAGACCGCACTATCAAGTTGCCACCAAGGCACGACAAGCAGCAATGCCTCCAATTGACCGTCCATGCACGGCCACCTGCATGGCGTGGAGATGGACAGGTGAGTGAAAGCACGGACCACTCATCTGCTAGGTCAATCGATGAACTAAGTTGAAACAGCTTGAAATGATGGGCGAATCATACTGAAAGTGGGGCAGGAACGAAACTCTTCAACTCTTTCCAATGGGCCCAGTTGTTGGTCATTCGAAGGTAGGACTGGCTACGGCCGGGTAGGGAGAGAATTCCAACTGTGGTTGTAGCGCAGATTGTCTTTATCAATGGGGAACCAGAATACTATATATATATATGTACAATATAGTGCCAAGACACAAAGAGGTGGAGAGTGAGTCGCAATGGACAGTCGCAATGACTACTTGAGTTCAGGAAGACGTGGAAACAATGAAAGGTGATGGTGAAGAGCGAAACATGACAAGGGAACTGTAGTGTTCCAAGAACAACACTACCTTTGATCATGCATCCATGTCTCCGAAAAATCAAAGACAAACCCACGCCCAAGTGGAGCAAACCCACCCTATTCACCCAACGTGGCGGTGGCACGCGACCCGAACGACCCGAACGCTCTCCGTTCTCCACTCTCCGCGGCGTCGCTCGCGTCGACCTGAGTGAAACCCCTCCGCCGCAGGAAGTCCACCACCGCATCGCCGTCAGCGCTCAGGCGGCCTGAGGACGGTGGTGAAAGTTCCCCACCCCCTGCGGAGTTGGTCCAACCGGTGTCACGTGTGTCACACGTGTGTCATGTACCATATGAAAACATGTGGGTTTCTGGTAGAGGGTCCCAGCGGATTTCGGACTCCTCAGGTCGATCTTTGAGATTCCTTTCTTGTTCGCAAACCGGACCAATGCTGCTCTTCCAGATTCGCCACCGGCTTCTGCCGTGTTCTGAACGCCACGCTCTCATGTCCGCCTTCTCTCGTTCATGGAGACCAGAGGGGGAGCACATCTCATGTCCAGCTCGCCAAGCTGTTTCAGCACCACCAAATCTCCAACCCCAGTGCCCAGCCCGAACAACCGCCCCTGAAACCCGCCCGAACGGTGTCCACGCACCTGGACTTGGATGCCCTTGGGACCGTCCAAATCCACTGTAGTTAAAAACGAAGATGCTGCAGCCCTGACGATGCTTGAGACGTTTGGAGTTGGTCAGCTCCTGCTTGAGACGTTCGTCCCAAATCCCATTGAAACTGACCAATTCAGAACCTCCAAGTTCGAAGGGCAAACAAGTTCTACTGGGTCTCTTTGGCTCATGCATTGGAAGGAAGAGTGCACCAATGGAGCTGAAAGCATCCCTGCTAAAATCTGAGGAAAGGACATCTTGGGAATTGACCTTCATGAAAAATTGATTTATCCAAAAACGTCGAACACACAAAACTCGTGGATCAAGTGTGAGATGACCATGGTCCATCACAAAGGCGAGAGCCTTTCTTCCTGCAATCGCTGCCTCTCACTCCCTGAAACTGTCGGGCTTCCTGTCTTGCCCGTCCCTCCTTGGCTCCACCAAAAAGCCGGATCTTGGCTGAAGACAGCACGCGCCCGCGCACACGAGCTCTACAAGACGACACATGCAAGCTGCACGTGTACTTAAAGCTACTGTATTGATGCAGATGTGTTACGCAAAAGATTTGTACAGAAGAACCCTTCGCAACGCTCCCAGAAAAGGAAAAAAAGAAGTGGACACCTGGGAGAGGTAGAAGTCCAACCAATGGGATTCATAGGCCATGGTCTCCTGAGATGCCCCTTTGGTGCGGCCGATCCAGCAACGCCGATCCCGCGACGGCAACCGCTGGTTAAGCGGAGATCTGTACATGGTCCACCTCTCAATCCACAGAAAACGACCAACGCATTTTGAAACAGATGCTGAGATGCATTTTATGATCAAGACCAAAGGCCTACCCTGGACTGATGCGGCCGGCACTCTTCAACGGTGTGAGTCATGCCTTCCGCAATCCCAGCCGAGGTGCGTAGTAGGCGGCATTGGGGTTGCACCAAACTACCACATGCCCACGCGGTTCGAGGTCCTAAACCAACGACATCGAGCAATCTAATGCCATGGAAGGAGCAAGCAAGGAGTGGTCCCAGGTGTGAACATAGACACTCGGCCTTGGCCTTCGACACATTTTCCCTTCTGAAGAGAAACTTCAGGAGATTCGTAGTAATCAAGTTTGCTTTGATATGATATGTTGTCTGTCGCAATGAGAATTGAAATTGAACACAGTGGATTGGCAGAGTGCTTCCAAAACTGTTGATCAACTCTCGTGGTGCACGCCCGAAGCGAAAGGAAAGGGGAAGGAAACGCCTTTGAGCGATATAGAATGGAGACTGTATGGAGACTTGGAGAGATCTAGAAGCCTGCAGCTTTGAAATACTAGGTCGGATTTGGACCCCATCGAAGGTGTAAACAAACAAATACAGTACAAGAATCAGAAGGGCAATCAAGGAAATACAAATGCTTTGCAACTTGCCTCTGGTCGGACCGTGCAACTAAAAAGATCCTGCCGAAGTCGTCAGGGTTAAACCGGATGTATATACTGTAAATAAATGAACAGCGACATTGAACTGCCACAGTGCCCAGCTCATGCAATATCTGCTGCACCAATGCCAAAACTAGTGTCTCTACATCAAAACAGTATAAGAATCTACATGACTTGTTTCTTCCAGCCTGCCTTCAAGGGAGCATCCTCCTTCGCGTCGGGACTCTCCTGAATAGACCATGTGACCCACGCGCACGCCATGCACGCTGCCTACGCACCAACCAATGCCTGATGTGGAGACTCTGAATCCAACCCGTTTACGCCTTCATGCCGTTCGTGCCAACGCGCGCGAGAGAAACCAGGGGAGACCGCGCGCCAGACTAGCCAAAGGAAGACACGGTCCGCGTCCTCGGTCAGGGCTTCGTCACGGTCTCCCTTGGCGGAGATGAACACCGCGTCGATCTTGCGGCCGCCGGTGCGCACCTCGGAGCGCGTGGACTGGACTGGACGAGTGGGATGGCAAGGAAGAGTCCACATAGACCAGGAAAGGAAAGAAACAAAACACGTGGAGGATCCATATTGGGCTTGGTGATGCTTGGTGTCATGTGCGATTTCTTGGTTTCTTCCATAGCCCCACGAATAGCTGTTGGTAACTTGTAGACCAACAAACTGGGAACCGATGGAGAAGTCCCAAAACAGTTGCAAACTTTGGAAAAAAAGGAGGGTGGTCTTTCCTTGCATTCTATCCACTTTTCACACCTTTCATCCTCGTTTTCCGCCCCTTCACCGGCGAACTCTGCCATGCTGTGCGTCCACACCCAGTAGTGCTGTGCGCTGTAGCGCAACAGGAGCTCTGCCCTGAGCTGGTTCAGCGATCCAACCACTGGCGTCCGCAGAAAGCGCCTGGCGGCCATCGCGTTCGGAATGAAGCGGCATTCGGTCCAAAGGAGTTCCCAAAAAGCCAAGAGAGGGGAGAAAACTTTGCCCAAAAAACCTGGCTGGTGCTTAGCTTCCCAGTGCCCAGCTGAGATTCTTTGACGAAACACCGCGAAAAAGAAATCACCGCACACAACTCGGGATGAAGTTCCAGAGCTCAACCCTTGCTTTCGGGGTCCACAAGCAGGGTCGGAAGGTCGTTTCATTCATCCCGTTCTTCGCACGGGGCGCATACCGGCCCTGGCCTGGTGCTGGCACAAAGGCCGTCCGGCGATCGCTGCAGATCGTAGAAGATATGCAGAAGCCTGGAAGGGCTGGTGAGTGGATCAGCGGCGGGAAGACGCTCGAAGTCAAATTTGGCCACTGAAGGTGCAAGCATGACAAGTTGTTCAGATCTACAATGAAGACAAGCAACCAAGTTCATCGGTATGCCTTTGAAGATAAAAGATTCCAATGCCGGATCGTCGCCAAACAAAGAATAAAAACCAACTGTTGGTATACCTTGATCCATCTTGGAGCCATACCAAGCAACAGCCCCAAATTGAAACACACCTTCAAGCTCGCTCACATCGATGCAAGCCGCGGCTCCACAGATCAGCCAAGCAGCTGCTCCAGGCGCTGAAGGGTGCCTTCGGCCTCCGCTTTGGCTTCCGAGACCAAGGGAGTACCTCGGAGCGCGGCATGCGCCCCGCGTGGGTGGCAGGAGCTTTTAGAAGGGGGAAGGGCCAGCAAGTGTTCCACTGAAAAAGAAGAGGTGCGCCGGTGCGAAATGTATAATGCGTGGTTATGGAAACAGGTGCACAACCAAATGCCTATCCCTTCCTTGCTGGTTTGGAGAATGTGACACACACCCTGCTGTTGGGTAGAAGAGGGGAGTTTGCATGTTCAGCGGGGCAAAATCGAGTCTCTGACAGTGGCGCATCATAACGTCGTAACTTGTTTTTTCAGTTCAGTTTTTCCCGGCCCAGGGCACTGTTCACTGCATAGCGCAGCGGGACCTTCACCACATTCTGCACATGGCGCTGCAGCCAGTCATTCAGGGGTATCTCGGCACGCCTCACGGTGGGGTGGGCCGCTCGAGAAAAGAAAACCATGTATCTAGCAATTGCAAACCATGTTTCTGTGCAGACTGTGAAGACTGAAGACCTCAAAAGCTTCAAGTTGATTCATAGACCCGTTGCATGACGACCTTAAAAGCTTCTAAGAACCTTCAAGATAGACCGTATAAGTGTTTGCTAGTGTTTGATAGTGGTGCATGCTGCGGAAAAGACCTCAACAGCACTGGCAACTCTCTCCGTTGGGTCGACTGACTCGGTCCACGCCTGTCCAGGACCTTGGCTTGGCTCAGCCAGACTTCCACGGCCTCGAAAAGCCGATTTCAGCCGATGTCGGCGGTCCGAACAAAACGGTGGCAAGCAGTCCGAAACAAGAAATGCTCTGCATACAGTACAAGTACAGGAAAAATGAAAAGCATCATGGTACCAGTAGATATTATTGAAAATGTTTGAATGAATGATCAAAATGATGATTTTGAAACAATGACGTACGTCAGGCCGCGCTGTCGTTTCACGCCTGGACCAGCCCTCTTAGCTGGACCTGCTCAGTGGTGAATTTCACCTGAACCGCAAAGTTTGACGAACAAAACCCAAAAAGTGCCGCACACTCCGCGACTCCACGACCAACCAAGCAGCCCGCATGTGAATATCATAACTGCAAGCTGGATCCTTCTAACCTTTCAATTAATTTTCAGTGGTGGAAAGCAAGGTTGCCCATAGCTAGAAGCCTCAGCTGCAGTTTGAGCCTTCTATTCGCCACCCACTTCATGTTTCGTCAAATCTCTGCTGTTCCATTGTTGTAGCGGCTGGATTCGTTTTCGGATCTCAGGTTCCACAGTGTGGCAGCAACCTAGGTCTCTGCCACCATCACAGGTTGGATCACTGCCTCAGGCTTCACACACATGGCAGGCCTCCACGGAGGTTCCCCCGCAGCCAACCACGGCCAAACGCACGGAGCAGCGCACGGAACGGAGGCCGGCCGCACCTGATCTCTCTGCTGCACCCGGAAGTTCCGGGCCAAGCCCTCGACCACCTGCAATCGAAGGACGTGGTTTCTGGTGATGCAGAGCAGATGGGTCGTTACCGGTGGATTCGGTGGAGGCCGGGGGGTTCTATCTCGACCTCGTCTTTTCGCGACGAATGTGACGAGTCCTGTCCGCATGTACCAAATCCTGTCCGCATGTCTCCCAGCATTGGACGAGTCGGAAAATACATTTTACTTGTCCAAAGAGATGCAGCAGGGTGACACACTGATCATACCAGGGTAAGGCTCCACCCTCTCCCATGTGGAGGATGTTTTCAACCTCATAGTACAGGATGTTTGCAGTTGGAACAAGGACGCTACTAGGGGCTCCTGGCATCGCTACTATAGGAACAATATTCGCTATTAGGGGCGACTACTAGGAGCGATCGGACACTACGAACGGAGCAAAGGGGCCAATGCTTCAAGTCGATGCTCGTTTTGGGGGTCGTCCCGTCCGCACAGACTCCGAGGCTCCGCACCATCAGGCCTAACAAGGTGCCCTCCAGGGTCGCCTCGGCTCGGGTTTCGTGCTCCATGCGCATGCTGGGGACGGTTTGGGCATCCATGAAGGTCCATGGCGGAGTTTGAATTGGAAGTCCATAAAAGTTTCACCTTGATCCACTGACTTCCCAACAAGAGCCTCCCCAGGCCTCGCACGCGCCGGGCCTCCGCACCGGGGTGGCCACTCCTTGGCCTTTGCCTGAACCGAAGCGGACGACCGAGCAGCTGTTGGTTTTGGTTTTGGCTCCCATCCTGCGGAGTGAGCCAACTTGAGAGCTGAGCCAACTTCGGTTTTCCATCGTTTGGTGCCAATTGTTGCATGTCCCTGTCACACTGTGGATGTTTTTTCAAGCATGTGCCCGACTTTCTCATCTGGAACCTCTTTCTAGCCCTCCTCACAAGAAACTGTTCCTGAACCCAATGCCCAAATTGCCGTATCTGGTGCCTTCCATCACCTTTGAACCCAACCACACTGGCTTGAAGTTCAGAGCTTGTTAGCATTGAGATAGGTGATAGGCGACAGGTGGTACAAATGGACGTGGCACTCATAGCCTTTCGATCAGGGTCGCCTGACCACACGGTTTGATATAAAATTTGAAATGGATCGAATCATCATCGACTCATTCGGATTTGAATCAGCGATAGAATCCGATAGAATCTACACCCACTCTTCAAGCAAAATGTCTTTTGAGATCCCCAAATTGCACCTCCCAAATTCTCGACCTCAATTGAAATCTACAAAATCATGTCTGATCATGTCTGGTCTCTGTCTTCAACCTTTCACCAGGCTTCAAAGACCAAAACTAAAACCCTTGCTGGATCGTCGTTACGATTTCGGTGATGTCGGGGCCAACCATTCTATAACACTTCCCTGCAGACCCAACCTCTGTCATTACGAAGTGAGACCTTACAAATGATGAGGCGTGGCATAGTCAAAAACCGTTCTGTAAAAATTATTGTGGTTAGTTATGCCCCTGGAGAATCACTGTAAGTGAATGAAAATAAATAAGAGATAGTAGGGGTTGGTCACTGGGGTTGGGGCCCGAAAATTAGGAAAAGTGACATCGGGTCCCCTGATTCTATAAGGCCTTGTGGCGTTTTTCTTTGATATGTTTCGCGCATGGTACATGATCTTGGTGCAAGCTGTTGGCATAAAGAGCACTACAAAATTACAGGCTTTCTCGCGAGATGCCTCTGTTGCAAAATGCAAGGCATCAAGGTTGACAAATCTCAACTGTTCACCAGGAAGTCCTTACAAGGTATTTGGATATGCACCTTGAGGTCATCAATTGTATACAGGAAATGTCACAACGGTGCCCGTCTCCGGTGCCCATCTCCGGTGCCCGTCTCCCGCCCGGCCTAGGGCTTCGGCCACGAAGCCGCGCAGGTGCTCCAGGTGACTGGCGAACTGCTTCGCCATCTCGGCACGGTAGGAGGCCTCGGCACGTCTTCGTCCGGCCTGGCCCTCGGACCCCGGTCTCCCCTCTCGGAACCGACCCGATCAACGTGCGGCCCGTCAGGCGCGGCTGACGGGCCGGCGGTGGCGGTGTCGGCCGGCGCGGCGGTTGGGGGGGCGTGAGTTGGAGCGTGGGGCGTTCGGAGGAAGCGGGACAAATGCATGGCGAAATGGGGACAGTCTTGCATGGATGTTTCGGAGGGGAAAGTCTTGGATGGCTGGGATGCAAAAGTTGGATGTCTTGGTCTGATGATGGGCCAAGGGCCAAGGGGAAGTGAGGAGAATTTCGGATGTTGGAATCTGGTCTCCCAAAATGTTGATCAAGCAGGATCGGATTCTGGAGGTTGACCACTCCACCCCGCTGTTCGAGACGTCCCGTTGGCCGAACCGCGCGGCCTCTGTGTTGCGGCGCCACAAGAGGATGGAGCCGGGGAAGACCAAGACCTCCCACCCCGGCGCCCGGTCGTCAGAGAAGCTGGTGCCCCACTCCCGCTCATCCGGCTCTGGTTCGGGTCAACTGCCCTGCAAATGAAAGGGGCCCAAGTTGGTCGTGCAGCATCTGTATCAATCTACAACTACAACTTGATGTCCTCTCCCTGATGTACGCTCGTGTCCTTTCCGCCCTCCAAAACACATTCTGCCTTAGGCGTCCAAAAGCCACAGTCGGAGTACATTGGAGAACTGCAGTTTGACAAGAACATGAGAACTGCACCTCTCAGGCAAAAGAGTTCTGCAGTAAATCATGTTCAGCATGGCTTTCGTAGTTCGCCCATCTTCCATGTCCATCGTGCCAAGTGGCCCTCACGACCAGCCGAAGCACTAACCAAAGCAGGAGCACATTGAAAAGGACTGCGCCAGGAGCCGTCAACAAGCGGGCCAAGCAGACCTTAGAACTTCAGGTTGGTGCGAAATTAATCTCAGACGATCACCAATTGAAACGGTTTGGTTCATTCAATGCCAGATGGTTTACCAAGTTGATCTCAAATGTGGGGAGATGATCTCGTCCCAAACACGACACAAACGGCGAGTCCGACCTTTGCACCTTTACGACCTCCCGAGGTCGGTGTTCACTCCTTCGGCGCAACACCTTTCGTTCGCCTTATAACCCGCCCGTGGTCCGAGCCACATTGAAGACGGCGATGAGGATGAAGATCAATACGACCAGGGGCGTAATGATGAGGCACAGCACCTTGAGAACGGACACCGTCCGAACGTACCGATAGAAACCGCCGGTCGGGGGTCCTCGACATCGACCGTCCTTGCTTGGCGTTGCTGGAAACCAAATGAAAACGGGAAAACCTCTTGGGCCAGTTCAAAGGCCGGGGGTCACTGCTCAGCACGTAAGCTTCTCATCTCACCTTTAGCTTTTCAGGTACCAGACTGTACCAGATCTCACCGGGTAGGTGTCACTTCTTCACGACTTCCCCACACGGGGTGTCACCCACGCCCTCAGTTGAGCGCCCTCGTTACAGCGAAGTGACCGGTGAGCCCTGCAAGCAGCTGCAGCACTTGCGGCACCCGGTGCGCACCAGCTGAGCCGTGGCCACTAGGCGTGAGACCTGGGCCACGTCACAGACGAGAGGTCCAGGTCTCATTCTTCACTCTCTAAAACTGGACGGCTGTTTGTCGTCTGTTCATCCAGTGGATGGATTGCTGGAGGTCTCATTTTCACCCTTGGTGTTGGTCGGGAAAAAAGAGAGGGTTGCTGGATATTGATGGGATGTGTAAGGAACGATTTCTCACCTCGTTAAAAACAATAGCAGTGCTGAGTCCTTCAGATAGAGCCAAGAAATGGGCTCAAAGCCCAACGGTTTTTCAGCGCCCTATTTTTTGGCATCGCACTGAAGACTCAGGTTCATCGTTCCTCCTACAGTGTCCTTCATACTCCGAACATCAAACCAAAACCTCCATGATGTGCTGGCCATGGTGTTGCTTGTTGGTCATGAGACAGGGTCTTCGGGTGAGCCTGGCCAGGGTGGCCTGACCAGCCCCGCGAAGCAGCTGAAGACGGTTCACGTTGACGAAGCTCCATTCAAGGAGCTGGGGCTCTATGGATGTGAAACAACTTCACGTTATGGAGAGACTGATGATTGTGAAGTCTAGTGGAACAAAGTTCTACAGTACAATTCCTCTTTGTTCGTCACGAGATGAATGTGTGAAAATGGAAGATTGATTGCTTTGGAGTTCAGGCTTTGGTTGCTGCATCCAGGGACCATCTAGATCGCATTGTCTCCAAAGCATGCCCATCGAGCCCCGAACATCTCGGCCACTTCCGGTGAAGCGATGCACCTGTCACTGTTCGAAAAAAGAGACCCTCTGCATCTCTCACCGTGCATCCCAACCCTTTTTTGGGGCCCTGACTTTGCTGAACATGAACCATGAACCCTGAAAAAAAACAATAGAAAATACATCAGCACTCAGCACTCAGCACTCCCACCTGAACTCAACTCCACTCCCAGAAATCCACCCCTCTGCCGCACCACTTCGCCCCCAAAAAGGGCCGTCCGCTTCACCAAGGGGCGGGTGAAGCGCTCATGGCGCCATGAAGCGAATCCAACGGACTCACCGCACCGCACCGGGGAGACGCGGACTCAACGTGTGTTGCTCGGGTGATGCTTTACACCTGCTTTCCGGTGGGGAAGAAGTCTGAGGTCCGGAGCGAAAAAGAACAGGTTCTCGTCCTATCTGGCCGATCTGCCATCGATATGTCGGGCATGGATATGCCGGTGCAGCATGGAGGCTAGCTGGAGGTTAGCTGGAAGCTCGCCAGCAGGGCAAATGATATGGTCACTAGGCTTGGGTCTTTGTTCGTCAGCACCTTACGTTGATTGTGGTTGTCTTCGCATTTGCTTTGGCGTCCACCTAACTTAGAATTTGGATGGATTGGATTGTTCCTCATCAAACCCGAAAAAGGAACGCGCCAAAGAAGCGTGTTGCTTCGGCGCCGTAACTGGCTGCGAGCCGTCAGGCCGTCACGTTTTCTGCGACGTCGAAACGGTCGACACCTCGAGGAATCCGAAATGGCCTCCCAAGAGGGACACGCCAAAAGGAACCTATTAAAACGTCGCCTTCGCCTTCGCACTGCTGAAGTTGGCGTCGCTTCGGCGGGTTTGCTCCTTTGGATACTCAGGGGCTCTGTCTGAGGTCTTCCTCGAAAACAGAAACTTTGCGTAGAAAAAAAGGGACTCGATGCTCCCACGCGGAAACCACAGAACGACCCAACGCCCTCACCGGTGCAGGATCCCAATGCCCGTGGCCGGTGCCGGTCACCGCTCATCACCCACCTGGCCGGTGCCGTTCCGGTGAAGATCTGCTTGGCCTGGTCCACCCAGGAGAACATGCCTCAGGGAGGAGAAGAAAGCGCTCCAGCAGACAGAAGACTTGTGGTGAAGGAAAAAACAGCCACAAGGTGTTTGAATGTTTTTGATGTGATAGGTTTTTGAATCTCTTTTGATGATGTTTGATGTTCAGCATGGACACCAAAAACTATCCGGTCCACGTCTGGAAGGTCCTCCTGTTTCCTCCAAATCGGCGCTTCTCTCCCCCCCACCTCCGGTGGTGGCCACCTGCAAGCTGTCAAGCTTATGAACTGGGTGCAGCATCTTCAGGACAGACCGGTGCTGATTGTGATAGGGACGTCTTCATTGATTCATTCCGCTTGTAAGCAAACAAAGTGTAGTATTGGTGTTGCTGCAAGTCTCACATGCATCTCATCCAATTAGAACTAGAACCAGGTCGTGTTTCAAGACCTCACAGGCATCAGGATACACTGAGTTTGTCCAATGGCAGCCACAAGGGATGTTCTTTATGATATTTTATGAGGTATGCAGTTGCTTGGGGGCAGCCCCCCACTTCTTCTCACCCTGCAATTCAAAGGGTCAAAGCACATGTCCTCCTCTGACCAAACAGGCGTGGTCTCAAAGGAAGAGAACATCAACAAGATCACAAAATGATTTCATGAACAAAATGATCACAAATTTGTTTATGTAAAGATGTCATCCTATGAATGCAGCCTCTTATGAATGAAGTTAGAGCAGGAGTGCCCCCTCTTACGAATGCCCAGCGATGCCACAAGCCCCAAATCCTTGTCCTTTTACTTCAAGAAAACCCAGTGATCACTGAAACGTCCCCAAATCCAATTGAATTCTTTTTGAACTCATATACATATATATATATATATGTACATATGATTCAAGTCAAGTGAATCGATGTTTTTCCCAACGATCCACGCCATGCCCGACCTCCCCCACCTCCCCGCCCCGACGGCCGCGCTCCCCACCGCGGACGGAGGAGCGTCGTCCGACTTCTTGGCGAGACCGGCACGCGCCGACAGCCCCTGGCGCGGGGCGACCGCCCGTTCGCTCCACCGTTCGCTCGACCACCCAGAAGAGTCGTTGGGAGAAAACAAATGAAAACAGAAACAAGAAACACACACTATACAAACTATACATCAGAATCTTGGAGTCTGAGTGACCAACTTCTGTCGTGTCCGGTTTTCTTGGATACAGTATATGTTGTGTCTTTCTTTCGACCGCTTCTTCCTCTCCGAAGCCTTGGAACTGACGGAGGGTGGATTCAGATCAGACCTAAATTCCCTAAGCTCGCTGGCATCACGATTGACTCGTCAGGACTCTCAATTTGATGATCCCGATCACTTGCGAGTCCAAAACAATCGCTTTGTTGCCGATCGTGCAGGCAGCTTTGTTGACGAAACTCTCTGGAGAAACGCCCCGCAAAGACTTCAAACGACAGAGGGGTGATATGGTGGGACGTCGCTTTCAGGTGGAACGTCGCTTGGAATTCCGTTCAAGCCCACTGAAATACAGGGAGACATGTGGTTTCATCATCTAGCCCATCCGGGCAAAAGCAAAGAACACATACTGGAGATGAAACATGAAAAACTCTACACAGCTCTACCAAACAATTCTACAAAATTCTACAAAGCTCTATATCTACTCACCGAAAGACAAAACTCTCCACGCCTGAGATGCAAAGCTCTTCACCAGTGGCATCCCTCCAGGCAAGGGAGCACCCATGCCTCGGGGGTAGGCGCTGTAGGTCGTCTCCTGCGCTGCGCCGCACGAGGCGAAAACCGAGGCTTCCCACGCTACCTGCCTACGCCGAGGCTTCCCCTGCAGCGTTCCCCCCGGGACGGCTAATGACTGGTGAAGGACCGCCGCTTCCTCAAAAAAGAAAAAAGGTAGGCAAGAACAGCACATGATCTTACTACTGACAGCTTGAAACCCCTCTTTGTGTCACACGTGTATGCCAACATGCTTTCCATGCGATCGCGTGCGGCACGCCTTCGGTGGCGGCGGCTTCTGTGGCCTGTGCTTGCGCAGACTGGCATTCAGGCACCAAGAAAGGTGCGAGTCATATGGCGAATGTTGACGGGTGATTCATCAAGCCCCCCGATCAGAAGTAAAACCTATCTCGAATTTGGAAGGTTTGGTGAATCAACCGTCAACAGTCTGGGAAAGGGATTCAAAATTCAGCCAACTCTCCCATGCTGATGGTCTACTTGCGGACGGTTTTTCGTCACCCCTTTGAAGGACCCTTCCACTGCTCCCGGGCTTCGACTCTCCGAGACTCGTGGGTCCGGTGAGACGGAGTCGTCAGTGAGTGAAAGGGTGACCGACTCGGATCGCTTTTTAAGCCCAAGGGATCAAGTTCTCTACACCCATAGCGGTGGCCGAAAGACCCATACGAGCGATGGCCGGCCTCCAAGCTAAGAGCCATGGCCGAAACACCCTGATCGGAAACAAACAGAGTTTTGTCCTGCATCAAACCATGGGGATTAACTAAGCGCAAGTTGATCGGGCATACCTTTCGGAGCAAGTAGTGGTGTCAACAGCTTCGTTTTAACCAGGACAGTCACCATCACCTGCTTAAGGCTCTTGGTTGGCAGGCAGAAGTCTTCCACATGAGCTGGTAAGTCTCAAACTGAGGCAATCCCAATCAATCTGGCTATGCTCAAAAATGGCGCTATCCCTTGGCTCCCCTTCTAAAGAAAGTTGGTCCCAGGCTGCCTCATTCGACTGGAACATGAAATGGCTCGACGGCGATTGATCATGTGGTTGCAGATTTTATCATGCACTACAAACAACCTCTTAATTATCCTTGTGTCCCTATGCTCCTCATGGCTCCTCAATCCAAGACATCACCCGTGTTCGCCTTGCTTTCGGCGCCTGGGTTCCGGCCGAGGAAAGGCCGGAACACATGAGGTGGACTGGGGAGTGACCACCAAGTGACCCGGAACAAGTCGGATTTTCTGAGAAATCCTGTACGGGTAGGACTCGATGCTACCGAGACATCAAGAGACCGATCCAACCAACGGTTCTTTGGGTGCCAAGACCAACCACCAACTCATGCTGATGGAAGCCTACACACGCAGTTTCCTGTGTGGGGTATACCATCTTCAGGACAAAAAGGTCACCTCCGAGTCCTCGCCTTTTTCCAGTCGCCACAAGTCGCCACAAGTCGAGACTTTTTGGGGTTTTGAGGCCGTAAACTCTTTCCGGTGGCTCTGGGGCTCTCCACCTGTGCGCCACTTTCTTCCGCTTTCTTCCTCCTGGGCATCCACATGATGAATCTGAGATATATGGATTTATATGGTGGGTGTTTTGGGGATGGTCACCGTGCGCATCTTCTCCTCCTTCAGGGGAGCAATTTTGGCCCGGGGCAAAGGGTAGTGACTTTGCCCCTGAATTCTGGAGAAGAAAGATCATCTTAAGGCACACCAAGCCGGACGTACAAACAGGCACACAAGAAACAGGATCAGAAATTGTTTGCCTGGAGCTGCTGGAGGAACCCAAGAACATCAGAAATCCTGGCACAGAGGTTCCTACGCAAAACATGCATTTGTGGTTTGGGACAAACCCCAAGCTTGGGATCAAATCAAGCTATCCATCGACGGGGGGAACCCTCACCACTCCCAAAACCCGACTGCACCCGACAGGACCACGGTGTTTTTGGGTTCTCGCAGCGGAGATGGCGGCACCTGCGGGCAGCTGTGAGCCGTCAACCGAACACGGGACTGAAGTCCAGAAGCGAAGACATACCAAGGCTGTGAAGCACAGGGAGTTTCTAGGAGTCCGGTACTTTTCACACCTGACAACTATGCTGATTTGAGTCACAGCTGACAACAGAACATCTTCTTTGAGACACTATGTTGGTGTGAAACGTCCCATTGACACTTTTTTCTCACACCAAAAGCAACTATCAAGCCTTCTGCAGGGGAGATAACTCCAGGAGTCTCTTGCACCCCATAAGTCTGAAATTAAACAATCTATCAAATTTGGGGGCCGACCTACTTCGTCCAGTGGCCATACCCGCCTGGCTCAGCGCGCTGGCTCCAGAAGCACCGCGAAGCGATGGAAGGTGCCCACCTCATTACGCGCGAGGCGATGGTGCGAAGCGACGCATCCCAGCGATGCAGTGATGCGTAGGCCGGAACGCGGCGCGCGAAGCAACAAAGGGGCCTGAAGCAAAACACAGAGAGTCGCTGGTGTTCAATCTAAGGCTGTTAGTTGGAAGGGTGACACAGTTCACCGTGCAGCCATCTTGCAGTGCTTGGTGGTTCGGGGTAAAAACTCCAAACGGATCCAATAGCAAGAGCCCCAAGTCCTCCCCAAGCTATGGTGTCCTGTTGGTTTAGGCTTAGTTCTGGATCTTGTTCACGCCACAACGAATTGAAGGGGGTGGTTGAAGAACTGAACAGAGAGGGTTAGTTGATTGATCTTGGGACGTGGCTACAAGGATCCAACCCCTCTGCTCAAAAGCACAAGCTTTCATCACGAGCACCTCGTCTGCCGGGCGGCCGGCATAAAACCTGGGCACAGACAGGGCTGGATCGCGTCAAGAGGTCCTCCGAAACGGAAAATGGGTAAAAACCAAGGAACCTCTTGAAGTAAACTAAACATGATAAAGGAGGTAAACAAAACATCCCTTGGCAAATGTCTAACCTACAGTGCCATCTCCAAAAGGCCCAAAAGTCTGATGCACCTGCCAATGCACCGAACGATCCCAACGGACCTGCAAAAACGGCTGGATTGAACCCTGGAGATGCTGGAGAATGAGTCACAAGTCTGATCAGAGAGAAAGCCACGCCACCATGCTGTTCTTTATAGCACGAACCAAAACGAGCGAAAGCCCATGTTTTGGCGGAGTCTGTTCATGTCTTTTTCGTCGCCGTGCGAGCTTCTGTCGCCGTGGCTCCAAACGGATCGTGGAAGGTTTTGGTGATGCTCAGAGATGCACCGGAGATGCACCTGAGAGGCTGCGCGTTTTCACAACTGTACAATCTTTACAACTTGACATGCGATCTCCCAATCATCCTTAATTAATTCATCTTTCCTATGGGGCGCAGGTACCCCAGGGGTTTGCCTTTCGGCAAGCCAGAGCACAAAAGTCCTTGCTCTCGCAGTTGTCATGGGGTATCCATGCGCAATCGCAGCCCTGTGCATTCACTATCTCTTGTCCGGCGATGAGATATTCCGTCCATGTCCGCGCACCGTAATTGCACGCTGCAGAGCTTTCTACGCCATGTGGACAGTTGGAGGTGAGGTCATGGCAAGTGCTGCAAAGGTCATAGGACATCTCGTTCACGGTCACTGAACAGCCACTGGCAGAGTTCCTCTGGCAAAGGCCCTTTTCAGAAGTCAAGTCGTTCTCAGGGGTTCCCCGGGCTCTCATGACACAGGCTTGTGCACAGGAAATCATTTGATTGGACGAAGCGCTCCCACCGCAGCAAAAGCCTGCATCCCTGCAGCGGAAGTAACAAGTTTGTCCAGCATGTGGCCAGTAGTATGGATGGAAGCGGCTTGTGGCCTTTGCCATTGAATCGGTGGAATTCTCTGCCACCGTAGTCACTGTCGCCACCGCAACTAGGAGCCACCTCCACATGGCGTGCTCGAGGGAGAGGCCCTGGAACTCTCACGTCGAACCAATGAGCTTCAATCCACAGAAGAGGGGTAGGGTCATGCCTTTCCCTTCAGTTGTTCCCAGAATTCCATTTGAACCCCCACAATGTCCATGTTGTTCCCAACTACTTGCACCCCCAACCATTCCACCGCTTCCTCCCCCCTAGAAAAAAATAGAAACCGCTGGCACCGGCGGCTTCGGTCCCCGCGGTCCCGCCAGACCGTCCCGAGAGACTCCGCCGAGGCGCGGATTCTCTCGGATCTCCGCCTGCACCTTCTCCATGCGGCAGATCTGCACGCACGCCTCGACTCCATCGGGCTCGCGTCGGACGTGAAACATCACCCATCGGGCTTAAGGAGCGGTGGTGGGGGTTCGCCCCCGGGGGACTCCAGCTGATGCCAGAGCTGGGTTGGGGAGTTCGGGGGAGCGAGTCAGGCTTTGGGATGTATTTGGTAGCTCGATGGCGAGGTCAACAATCAACCACCCCCAAGCAAAACCCCTGGCTCCCCGGCTTCAGCCACTGGCTCCCCACACTCCCCCTCCCCGTCTCGGCCACCTCCGCTTCCTGGCGGTAGAAGGTGGCAAAGACACATCGGCCGCCCTTGGCCCGGCTGGCGAGCACATGCCGTAGGATTGGCAGCCAAGGCCCACCGTTGGTGACCTCAACCGGTTGGACGGCGACTCAACCGGTCGGGCGAAAACACGACGCGAGGTCGAGAAGCAGTCAGAGTTGGCCGCCCAGGTGGAAGCAACTGCCATGTGGCAACGATCCACCCACAGATATCGTTTGGAGTGAGTCCAAGCCGACGGCCTCGCGCGGAGCGCGCGCCTCTGGATGCGCCGCCAAGATCAGCCCTGCCGGGCGCTGGGCACTCTGCACTAAGTCCTCCGGGCGCCGCAGGGCGCTCTGCTGTGGCTCGGCTGTTGATCGGTGCCCCGATCGATCTCGGAACTCAGCGGATCTCGATTTTTGGGCGGATCTAGGACTCAGCGGATCAAAGGTCCCAAAGAAGTGCGGAGCGAAGGTCTCACCGCGACCTGCTGGAGGTCCTGCTGCTGCAAGTGCAACTGGATGCGACCTGCGAATTCATGTTCCGTCCATTTCTCCTCAGCGGGATGGGCGACGCCCCACGGGCCCACGGGACCCTGCGATTCTCTGGAGCAACCAAGCAAAGAGTAGGAGGTCAAAAAATCTTGAAAGAACCGTGTACAGAGCCCATTGGAACAAGAGCAACTTTATCCACTGCTCCCGCATGGAGAAGAGACATCTGCTGCAGAAAGTGAAGATACACAGATTTGCCAAGCTGGTTCCCATAGTGGCTTCTCTTCTCTCGAATCCCAATGTCATTCTCAACGGAATGCTCGGTCACGGGCTTTTGGGAGCTTTTTCAACCATCCCGGAGGATCAAGCCTCCACTCTTCTTCATCCCTTGACTGTGTGTGTGTGTGTGTTTTTGTCGCTCCATGCCACGGGGGGATCAAGCCGCCCATGCCACGACCGAAAGAAAGCCCCCCCAAACGGACCGTGAACGGAGGACCCGTCGCCAAGTCGCCCAAGCAGACCACCAAAACTCTTGAGGCCTCACGTCACAGCCCTCTACCTCGATCCGCGTCGCCTTCCCTGACGCAGCGAAGGAGGCGAATTTGAGGCGAATTTGAGGCGAACGAGGACGGAAAGGACTGGCGAAGCAGCGGTGTGAAAGTCCACCTCCTCAAGTTGCCGGGTGGCTCTTTTTGCATAGATGTTTGATTAAGTCACACTCCAAATATAGCTTGCTCAGCTCATGTTACTTGTTTTTTGGGTTCACCACAAGAGTCGTTTAGGTATATATGTTTAGGTTCTGTAAATTTGGTGTGGCGGGTGCGGGTGCGGGCGCTATCTGTGCATATAGTACTCATATAGTCACTAGTCCTTCCAAGTTCTAAGGATGGATGACGAAACCTTGGACGTGAGCTACTTGCCGCTGCATGGTGAAGCAATTTCGGCTGATAAATCCGTGCCAACAACGTCTCCTTGGTGTTTCGGAATGAGACAAACAAGTATGAAGAAACTCATCAGCTCGTCTTTAACTGATAAATCAATATACAGTTCCCATTTCTTCACTTGTCCCCGTGTCCTCAATTCTTTCGTCCAGTCACCTTTCTCCAAGATCTGAGACTTCAAGAAAGGCAGCAAATGAGGTGCCTGCGGCTCGGCCAGAAGCAGAACAAGCAAAAAACTCAGCTACAGGATGCCACAGAAGATCTGTCCGAACTCGTCCCTTCGGTCGCTCGCTCCGTGCGTCCTCGGTCCTCGAAGAAGTCGTGGCAGAACGGTGCAGAGACCTGCAACGCGCCGCGGTGGTCCAGCGGCAAGGCCTCCAGCACGCCCCAGGCCTCGGGTTGGAGGGTCGGAGATGGATCCGGTCGAAACTGGAAATGGATTGATGATGTTTGATGGTTGCTGGGCCATGTTTCTGAGCAGAACGGTGTGTTCAAGACGGTGTGATCACCACTGATCGTCAGAGCTTACAAGTCTTGTTTGATCGTTCGCTCGTGGTTGGAAGCCGCTGCTTGGTGTGTGCAGACGCTTCGTCGACTGAGTCCCCGGAGTCCCCCCAAGGAAACCTGAGTGTGGTAGCCGCAGCCTTCTCCGAGATGGAACGATTTGGAACCACAGATCTGTCCAATCAGGCGATCTTACTGTTGCATCCACATGTTGAGGTCATGCAAGTAGCATACGCAATTCAAGAATGTGCCCATGCACAAATTCTCCCCCAAAGCATAGGTCGCGCGCGCGTGGCGCATCCGGAAGTTGCAAGGTGGTGCTGAAACTTAATCATCGATGTCATCTCTGAGTGTGTTTCAAGGACTCTGGAAACTTGTCCATATTTCAATACCAGTTCAAGCTTCTGTGGTCTTAAAATAGGTTTGCACCTTCCTACTCAAAATCCTTGTGCTGCTTGCAGCGCGAAAAGATGCATTTTGCACAGGCGATTCGTATTGATCCTTCATAGTAAACTGCGGGAAGCGCTGGAGCGCAACCCCGTGCGAGGTGTGGAAATGACTCCACTTGCAACCTTCTGCAAGGGAGCTACACGAGCTGAGCCGGCAGTGGGGGGATGCTGAACGCAAATTCGTCATGCCAAATCACCAAATCCACAAGATCTTGAGAGGCTCGACTCTCCCACAAAGCCATGATCGACTTAGTTCTCAACCTCACCTCCCCAAAAATCTGCCAACCAGCACATTCGCGTGCCTGGTGTCTATGCGGATACAGACTTCCCGTACCAAAGAAGTCGGGAAGTCGGAGACCGACGGTCACATCTTCCACCTCAGGCCATGGACACGTCCATCGCACCGGCGCCCTTGTCGTCCAAATAGACGCGGAAGGTCACGGAGGTCTCCCCCGTGAGCTTGAATCCATCGGTGTGATTCACATCGGGCTTCCTGGGTTGGGCTTTGTTCATGGACTCATGTTTTTTCAGATGCCGGAACTTCGTGTTTAACAAACGTGTTGTTGATTTCGTTTTATAGGACGCTGGAAAAAAGGATGAAACATCTGCCTTTGGAAAATCGAAATGACATGGAGGAAAAGATCCAGAAAACGTAGGAAGTGATTGATGGTGCATGTGATGGCTGCTTCAGGAGACCCTATTGTAGGCAGATATCTTGATCGCCCATCTTCCCTCAGTACTATTCGCAGCTTCTAACCGCCAAGTAGAAAATACACCAATTAGAATCTAGAAAGAAACACCTACAATAAGTCAAGTGTGTATTTCAACAGGGAGTTTCCCAAAGATCCCTGTAGGGTTCGCAAAGAATATGCCTTCCCACCCCGCTGTTTTTCCCGGGTAGGAAGGTGGATTGGAAGAAACCAGAAGGTGAAGGTGATCTGCGTCTGAATAGTCCAAGGCTCCGGAAATAGATCAAGCCCTTTTCCTTCACCTCTTTGCCACTCTCCTCAACCTTTGCCTCGGCTTCGGCGATCTTCTTCTTCACTTGCGCTGGCAAAGCCGACAGGTTGTCCGGTTTAATCAGACCCCATCCTTGCTTCACGTTGTAGCGCTGGATGACTCCTGAGTGCTGAGAGGTGTTTTTTGTCTTCAGGTTTTTCCCAACGACTACTGTCCGGCGACTTCCCTAGGTCTGCCCATCCTGCCCCAGAATTGGTGCATGGATGTCTTTTGAGTCAGGGCGGTTTGGTGGAACAGAATGCAAAGAATGCCAAAAATGTTGAAGAGCACTCACCTCATCATGGGTGTCCATGTACAGTAAGGGGCAAGAGCAAAGCAACTGTTTAAAAATACAGTCGTCGTTAGCTCCTGTTCCTAACCTACAATTACAATAGTCCCCACAGCCGAGAGAAATGTTCAGGGCGCCGGGCACCATCCAAAAAACAAAGTAATTAAACAATTTATGAGCAAACCCAAAAAATAACAATTTGACTGTGCATCGCAGTATGTCTCAAAACTAGACAAGCCTTGCCAGACTGTCCTTCAGCCAATAAGATAACAACACCTCAGAGGTTGCACGTTCCCGCATGTTCCACATACACCTGCATGATACACATTGCAGGCAACATACCAGCAAACCCACCAACAAGCTGTACTGCTTGCGAATATACTTTTTGTACGCATTGTACTCTTTCAATCTTTTTCGCGCAACATCATATTTGTTCATCGAGGCGACACTTATGTTAGAACAACATCGGCGCGTTTCGGGACGTGAGTCTCCCCACTTGGTTGCCACTGTCTGATTGGCGTTTTGTTGGGCCCGCCTGGAAACTGTCATGGATTCTGCGTGACTTGATTTCCACTAGTTCGGGAGAGTAAAGCACAAGACTGAATCCACTTTTCCATCGTGTACGGCGGTCCGATCATGACTCTAAAGTCGTAAAGTTCGAAGTTGGGACTCCGAACGTGCAATGCTCCAAAGACCCAACTGTCGAGTGCAAAACGGGTGCAAAGGCCAAAGGTCTTGTTCTAGTTTGGCACGCGGCTCAGGGGGAAATAAATGGTTGTCATCCGCTCACAGGTGCGTGTCATCTGCGTCCAGATTGCATATCACAGCAAACTTGAGCTGTCTTCGTTGAGCCCACGAGACATCTAACCAACAGGTAACCTTTGATTCCAAGGTGCACACACTCTGGAAATGCGTATGGAACTGATGCGGTTGCCACTCACCAGCCTAATTAAAAAACCTAAGTGTCCAGGGAGTATGAAACCTGAAAGTAGTAAGTGTTAAGTGGAGAGGCATCTCACAACATGAAAAGAAAAGGAAAGGAAGTCTCGAAAACCCGAAAGAACTTCAAAGATCTCCAAAAGAGTCGAGGCGAGCGACAAATGCACGACTGCAGAATGCATCAGCCCAAGGAGCAGGTAGGTGGAGTTGATCAGACTCCATATCAGTCTCTTCGTTGGGCAACCAGCTATGCTCACGAGGTTGACCCCCCACTATAAGTGAACAAAACAAAACAATGAGACCGAAAGGTCCCCTCTAGAAAAAATAGAAGTGCTGCTTCTCTTTCTTGCTGTTTGGGTTTACCATAATCCAAGGTTCCTGGGTAAGCGGATTCCCCAAGTTCCTTCCGGCTCTCTTCTTCTACCTTCTTGGTCCAAAACTCACTTGTCAAGGCTGCGGCCCTTCTCTTGCCCTTGCCTCAGACGGATGTGCGGCGGTGTTTCAGAGTTGCAAGCAGATCCACTGGGAAAAAATAACAAATCCTCCGAGTGAATCCACACATCAAGACCTTTTCATTCTTTGCAAGGCATGTTGCATCACAAAAGCACTTATAGTTCGAGATGTCTAACCAAAAAAAGTGGGAAAGCACAGATTTTGAGCAAAGCATCCTGCCAAGTGGAGGTTTCTCGAGAAAAGTGCAGAAAAGTTCATATCATGTATTGATATATGATATATAGAGAAACGTACAAAAAAGTACAGTAGAAACCCAAACATAGAAGCTTCAGTGAAAATGTACAGGAAACTGGAGGTTTCGAGAAGAATGTAAAAAGTGCTTAGAGCGATCACCGTGTTATACACACCACACCACCACTACCCCTCACCACAGCACAAAACACCAACATATCATCACACCACACTTCACCACATCACATTGCAACACGTCAAATCCCTACACATCACATCACAACACCACACCAGGCATCACTCCAAGATCCTCATAGGTTATATTGTAATTCTGTTTGAAAGCCTCTCCCTCCAGCTCCATACATAGTTCATTTTGGCTGGATGGGGCCCAGGTGTTGAACCACTGCGACGACAACTCAAGAAAAATCCGCGCCTTTGCCCTTGCCCTTGCCTTTGCCTTTACCGGACTTTCCTTTGCCGCCCTTCTTTCCGCCTTTGCTGAAGGAACGCTGTCTGGGCGTCTCGGACTCCACCCAAATCCACTTGCCGCCGTTGTCGCCTTTGCGACTGGACTTCCTGAACGGCGGACAACGCGTTGTCGCCTCGTCTCGTCTCGTTGGTTTCAGAAGTCGATGCTCTTTTTGGAAACTTCCTTTAACAGTTCTTGGCAACACAAGCCTGAACTTCTGAGCCTGAAAAGGAGAAGTAAGGGTGGGCAGCAACAAGCCCTCAAACTGGGGAATCCGTCATGGATTGCTCCTGGGGGAAGCTTACGGTCTGCTTTCAACAGGTTACGGACTCACTTACCTCCGAAATCTTCCTTTTCCGGGCTACATGGGCCGAAAATCAAAGCAAAACCGGGACAAAACGAACAAAAAGAATCATTGACCCAAAATCTGACCATGAAATCTCCAAGTCTCCCTCCGCCCTTCCCTTTTCCTTTGGAGTCTCTCCATGCCACCGGGCTATCTCTCTTCAAAAAGCTGGTTCTCACCTTGTAGCCTGCAGGCTTTGGAAGTGAGGTTGGGACCTTTGCATCAACCAGTCAAAAAAGAGAACTAGATGACTTGCTTTGATTTGTTAAAAGTGGACAGTGACATCGAAAAAAAGTCCCAAGAAGGAACGTAAGGGACACCTGCCAGACTTTTGCTGTGTCTGATTCCAAACCCAGCGGCCCCCCACCTCCATAGCTCCCCTTGCTCTTGCCACCGCTCTTTCCTTTGCCCTTCACCATCGCCACCCACGAGAAAAAGCTCTCTACCGGCTACCGCTACCCCGGTGGAAATCGCTCGGTCCGAGTCTCAAAGCCGAAGCGTCTACGGCGGAAGCGTGCACGGGGGAAGACGGTCGTGAGGGGGGAGATGTGAGTGTGTATTTTAAATAGGGAGACTACTAGGAGCAAGGACGCTACTAGGGGCTCCTGGCGTTACTACTAGGAGCAACACCCGGCCAAGAGGGTAGACTGGTCTATTTCCCCTTCTTCCAGGGGGTCGGGACGCCTGGGAGGTTTCCCTACATGTGAAGACGTCGTGGCAGCTGGTCCAGGTCACGTCGACCGATCCGTGGAATCTGCGCCATCTGGAGCCATCCTGTTTTTTGTTCAGCTCTCAAAGAGAACAAAAACCACCCGGAGGACCAAGACCGAGGCGAGCCAGTGCAGAGCTGAAAATATCCGTCTTGCGACCAACGTGGGTTCCCAAAAAGAGCCGCGCAATCGAGTGTCAAAAAGTATTCAGATGGAGGAAGACTAGGTGCGAGTCGGTGGTCTCCCTGAAATCTCTGTTTTTGGCGCTTGAAAAAGTGTTCAACTTCCGGCTCTCATTTGAGGGATCTGAAATTCTGGCGCCCAGCGGCAGCCAGGGCCTGGATCCAGCATTGGTAGGCTTGGTCACGCTGATCCTGCACGAAACATGAAACACAGTCACACTTAGTGGTCCGCATGGCTTTTTGGTGCTTGGGCTGCAATCAAAGGCACGTAGAAACATCGGTAGTAAAATAGTTGATGCCACAGACTGTTGGACTTTGAATGGACCTGTTCTGTTAAATGCAAAGCGGAGGGCGCTCCGCCCTGCGGCCGGCCGTTTTCTGCCTTCGCTTCCGGACCCGTGTGGGCAACCCTTGTAGAACGGTGAGGATTGTTTGGGCCTTTCCAAGCCGTCAGACTGGTTCGCACTTGTTCTTGCACGTTCGGTCAAGGGCTCACCGGGCGGGACTGGTTCGGCACCAATCTCCACGCAAAGACTGAAAGCTTTTGTTGGATCAAAAGTCGAAGCTTTTGGAGGTTTTCAATCCAGGTGTTGATCTAGTGTTGGTACAAGTGTGAGTCCCAAATTTGTGAGAAAGGCAAGGTGTTCAACAAGAACTCTCATAGAGGTGAATGTCGCTGTGACATTGGGATTGGCGTGTGAGCGGGTGTTGTTTGGAGGGGCTGAAATCGAAAAACTGGGCTGCATGATGTGTGTGTGCTCCGATTGGTGTTTCCGCTGTGTCCAAAGAGACCGCGCAAACACACACAGCACCTCAGCACCGACCGAGCTTTCGCACGCATCCGACCGGTCAAGACACCGACCGAGCGACCCACCGAGCGTTCGCGCGGGAGCCCCCTCCGGTTCAGCACGCTGCTTCTGCACCAAGTCCCGCGCAACCAACAGCTCCCTGGGCCCACCTGGACGGATGGCACGCTGGGCGAAAACGAAAAGCGTCCCACTGGGTCTATCAAAGCTTTTGCTTGGAAAGTGGGTGAATGGATGGGTGGGTAGGTGTCCCTGCCTTAGTTTGCTGGTGTCCCTGTGTCGCGGACTGGAACTGCCGACTGGAACGTTGATCCGTCCTCACAGTTTACTTGTGTTTTGCTACTGTCTTCATCCACCGTTCTTGTTGAATCTTAAGGTAGTTCCCTGTTTTCTTAGTGGTGAAGATAGATAAGAGTATAACATGTTTTAAGAGCTCATCTTTTCTGACTGTTGTTATCTATTTTTACTTGTTCATCATATGTTTTCTCTGTAGGAAGATTGACATCAGAAAAGGGCAAGACATGTTCGATCGTGCTCGAATGCATGATCTTGCCAAAAATGCTTGCTGCGCTAAGCTCACTCGGTCTCATTCTTTTTGTCCTTCCTCTCAGGCTTTGGGTTGGTATTTCGTGAGCTCCCACATGGAGTGGCCAGGCTGGATGCGAGCTTCATTGCAGCAACCAGCCAAGCGCTCACTGGTGGCTGTGGGTTTGAAAAATTGGCATTCGAGCCACTGTGCTGCCCAATCAACCGCTCAGCACATGTCACTACATATCAAGATATTTCACAAAAATACCCTAAAGTGCCTGCCACAAGATGTGCCGTGTTTTGGCCGGCAACGGATGCCTTTCACTGGCCCATCATGCGCATGAATCTGGATTTTCCGCGGATGATTGAGGGTCTGGGATGGTCGTTGCTTCCTCTGCTTCGAGTCTATCAAGGTTTGGGAATCTTCCATTTTTCCACTTTCTTCCTTTGCCCCTGGGCTTCCACGCTTGTGATCACCCCGCAAGGCCCCAACACCGACACCGGTGCCGCAGGCCCCGGCCCCGCCACAGCTGCCGCAGCCGTGGCACCTGCCACGATGCAGGGAGCGATGCAGGGAGCGGTCACCCAACGCAAATGAACAAGCAAGATTCGGCCTGACAAAAAAACTCAGAGAGTCAAGCAGATTTTGATAAAGAGAGTTGGGGTCATGACGGTCATGACTTACTTCAAAGACTCTCCAAACACGTCTTTCTTCGTTTAGTTTTACTCACCTGAGGTCACAAACAGCGTCGGTGCCGGCATCGGTCTGAGCACAGCACCTCCGAAACCGGGCAACGGAAAAGGGGTGTCTCATGAATATGGGGGGCACATGGGTGGGACTTTCAGCATCATTCCCGTGAAGAGCAAGCAGCCAAAGAGGTTCTATGATATGGTTGAAGTAACTGTGAACTGTGATGCCTCATTATTGCTGGTACTCATATGAGCATGCACAGCATGAACAGAAAACCTCCAAGTTCTGTTCAATCCGCTTCAGATAGTTCACAGAAATTGCCTTCTCAAGTGTTTCATCATGGCAAGCGCAGCTCATTCATGGTCATCCAATTGACATGGGCTGGGCCCATGTGGGGAGAAGCTGGCGCTTCCACGTGGTGTTCGGCCTTACCATGCCCAGTCTTTGGAGACCTTGAGGTTGATTGTAAGGCATGTATGACCAATCAAACAGACCTTATGCCTATGCCCTGAGGTTGATTTTTCGGACCCCAATGAGGGTTTCCCTCGTAGCCTCCTCACTCCATTTTCGGCCCAAAACTGCGGGAGTTGGGTCTCAACAAACGCTGGGAATACTACGTGATACTGCGGGAATACTTGGAGCACTACTCCTACGCTGCCCAAACCTCCCCACCATGTGCCGGTCCTACCTGGCCGCACTTGACATGGTCGCGCGAAGGCGGGCCTGGCCAGAGAGATGCCGCCCACTCCGACACCAAGCGGTTGAAACATGCCACGGGAGGCTGTCCTGCTGGCTGTATGGTTTCATGGCTCCCCCCCATGTAGAACTCCAAGTCTGCTGTCCCTCCTCACGGTGCCACTGTTCCAGGCAAGAGTGCCATTGGACTCAACAGTATACAGTAACTTTAAAAAAAAGTTCCCAGTTTGGGTGTCACTCAGATCCGAGTCTCACGCAGACCCGACGAAACCGAAGAACTCAGGTCTGGCGACGGGGTGGTCGAAGGAACTCGATCGGCTCCCCCCATCGTCGCCCGATCGAACGTTGGTCAACAGACCTCTGTAGACCTCCAGACCTACCAAGAAACCCACCCGGACGGAACAAGCTGCTTCGAAAGAGTGCACCCAATGGTCTGCGACCTGCTTTTCACCTTGGTCTGCGGATCCTCACCAATCGCTCGAAGTTGGAGTTCGAGACATTAGGTCCCCAACTGATTCGTCTGCTCACGATTCTTGTGCAAACTGGTTCGGCCCACTGAAAGCCACTTCAGGTCGTCTCAGACTTTGATGGAGCTCTGGACTTTCCTTTTGTACTAATCGACGGATGTGAACAAAAGAAACACCCTCGCACTTTAGTTGCCCACTCGTGCCCACTCGCGCACCCGCGCCTGGGCTGCGGGGAGACCTGGGCTGACGACGTCCCGCAGGAGAGACCAGACTTCAACAAACTACAGTGGTTTCAGAATAGATGGCACTGATGGCACAAACCCAAATGTCTTTAATGTGGGGGTCCATATAAACCACCTTATCCCTGAAACCATATACTCTACTCTATCCCAGATGCGCCGCCATCTACTCTGAAACTATTGTATCCAAATCTTAAAAATATCCAACAATATCCGACAACTGTCTGAGGCAGTGAAGTCAAATTTGCCGACAACTGACAACTGGAAATCAGTGTTTTCTGGTGCAGGTTTCCTACCACCATGTGTTGCTTGCTCTTCTCGCTCTGCCTGTCCACTGGTTTCCTTTGAGAATCCCACCTGAAAGGTTGGTGCCCAAGCCTGCTGTCCCGGCCGCGTCGCCGCATAGCCATGTTGGATCATCACGTCGCGAAGTCGCGGATGATGATGCAACTACAGCGGTTTTCTGCAGACTCAGGCCAAACCGTCTGATTCGGTTCAAAAGCGGAGATGAGAAAGGGTGGAAATGCCAAACGGTCTTCACACCGCTTCTGCACTTCGGTACTTGCTCTCTGTCTTCTGAGTAAACTGCACTGCTTGCTCCCCCTGAGTTTTGTCTGAGGGAGTCTTTGCTAAATGACTGATGGTGGGAATGGTCCTTGAAGTCCAGAAAGAATAGGAAGATGTTCTTGTTCACCACTCAAATCGCTGCATCACATCTCCATTCTCTTTTTTCCCCAGTTCCATGGAGTTGGAGCCACAAAGGCCCATGTAGAAATAAGGCACAATGCCTTGATCAGGCAGCGAGGCCGCGAGGTTGGGAAGTCCCTCTGGTGATATGGGCAGGAATTCCAAGAGAAATCACTGCAAGCAAGTCTGATCGCAACAACCAAGTGATGATCCGAAAAGAAAAAAAAAATCCCAAACATCCCAGCGACATGATCCCATCATCATGTGTGGACACACCGGCCGGACCAACCGACCGGACCGGCGAAAAGTCTCCGGAACCGACCGGACCGGACCGTTCTGCCGTCCTCAAGGACTCGTGCACCTGGCTATGCTGGGCCCAGTTCTTCGTGAAGCATTCCTGGCAAACGAAGAATGGACCCCGCTCCACTGGCTCGGCTGGAGAAGATGGGGCATGAAGATGTGAAAGCATCTGACCCATCCCACTTCAACACGTGTCTGCCGGTGTCTGGCCGTCTGGCTTGAGGAGCATGCGCAATCGGTCTCTGGGTCTTTGATTCTCAAAAGGTGAGCTGAGCTATACAATGGCATGCAACCTCGTTTGCGAGGAATAAACCCAAATTCTGGCCCGAGGTTGCTCCGTCGGCTCTCCACACCCTTTAGGGTCGACCTGTTCACGACATGCCAACGTGGCAGGCCAGTTGTGGCGAAAATCTGAGAAATGTTCCCAAGCGAAAGCCTCTTAAGACTCTTCTTGGCCAAGAATCTTCTTCTCACTTGGCCAAGGAATAGTTCTCCCGATGAAGTTTCGCAAAGGCCAACGCAGCGACCGAAACGACCGGTGTCATGACAACCACTGGATGATCCAACAAGCTCTTAGAACGGCCTGCCTTCTTTCCCTGCACTCGATCCATCAAAGTGGTCTGGGACGATAGAATCTCGGGTGCACGGCCCACCTTTCGCGTGCCGAAGACACAATCCCACAAGCCGCCGATGGAGGTAAAGGTATAGTTGCAACCTTTGTGGCCTTCATGATGCCAGTCATGGTGATGGGGCATCTGAGCAAATGGCAACACCCTCTGCAGCTGGTGGGCCAGGTTGAATCCACAGCTCACGCCCGAGTGCTTTTCCAGACTCTCAAAGATCCGAATCAAATGAGAGAACCAAAAGCTGCCGCGGTCTAGTGGCAAGAGGATCTGAGCACAGAAGTGACCAATCACCGCGTTCCCCAGGTTGTCCAACCAGTGATCATCATAGGTGTTGCGTGACAGCGGATGCTTGGCCCAGTGGTGGTATGAGTGGATCTTGTCCCAAAGCCAGGGCACCACATGCAATGCACGGTGCATCCAGTACATGCCGAAGGAGAGGATGTAGTGATTCGCCACCACTCGCACGACACGCTCACGGAGGGGTGCCACCACTTCTTGTGCCATAGGATAATAGCCAGGAATGGCATAGTAGAGCCCGACATTGAATGCAAACTGGCTGATCAAGGTCAACCTGGCTCGTGTATGTTCAACAGAATGAGTTCCAATTTCATCTGACTCTTCAAAGACTTTAAAGAGCGTTCCTAAAACAGCTGACACAGTTCCTAAAACAGCTGACACACGGGGTCACTGTTCGGAATCTGAAGTGATTCGGGGAAGACGAGATGGGACAGCCTGTCGTGGTAGAGGATGGTCTGGAGCTCTTTCATGTCACGTCCACACAGGTCTTTCTTGTTCTTCAAAGCGTGTTCTCGGGAGGGTTGAGTGCGGAACTGAGGAAAGCTGAAGAAAATCGCCTCCAAATAGGTATTGTAGAGTCGTGTCACTACCTGATTGTTGATTCAATCCTTGAAACCATCCCAGAATAGATATATCATAGTCAACTTGGATAACAATTCCAAATATATATATATATATATATATATTATATATACACATAATATATACTATATGTAGAGAGATGTATACTGTATATATTGTATATAGTTATATAGAGTGAGAAAATAAAAATAGATAAACAATCCAGAGCACCACTCAGCTACGGCTTTTGCACAGAGAAAGCCTGCCAACTCTTTCAAAGTCCAAGATCCCTTCACGTTGGCCTTCTCTGGAGGAACCAGAAAGGCGGCCGCCACCAGAGATCCCAAACTTCCCAGCTCCAAAAGCGTCAATCCCAGGTCGCCGCTGAACAACCTCGGGGAGCCCCCCGGTCTCTTCCGATCCGTGGTCGCCCGACATCGAAACCACCACGAGACCGGTTTGGACCGAAAAAACAATTCTTCCAAAGGCATTCTGAACCCATCGGGTTCAGATGTTTTGTGCAAATGATATCCCACATCATGGGTCCAAGGGGTCCGAGTTTGATCTGAAGGATGTAAGACCCATGAGAGTTGCAAGGTGAGAAACTGATGCCATATCTTTTGAGCTTCCGGGTCGTCCAAAAAGTTCACTATCAAAATGTCCAGCTACAACATCGAAAAGTAACATGGAACCCAAACCCAGGCACCCTCTCCTACAGGTTCCCTGTCAATTTTCGGACAATATCTCTGCGACACAAGGAGGAGAAGTGCTCCGTGAACTTCAGCTTTTCTGGAGGATACTCCATGGTGTAAGCCATCTCCTTCGACTGCACCGCCATGCCGGTCCACCGACGCGGTCCGCCGGATCCACGAGCCAAACCGCTTCGCGGCCAGGCGAACACGTCGGACGACTCCGGTCGGCGAACGGGCGAGGACCGCGGAGGGCGACCGCCTGGCCACAGAAGAAGGAGGTTTGGCCAAACCTGGAAGGCTTTGGCAGTCGGGTGAGCAGCAAATCGAAAGAATGCATATAAGACTAGCGACAACATCAAGAAAGCATGACAATATCAAAAGAGCGTGTGTGTGGATCACAATCATTGTCAATAGACTGCCGAATGGCCAACTCCAACCCCACCTTGCTCAGCAAGTCAGAGAAATCTTACTCGGTAGGACTGCCAGCTACATCCCTGTATAGTCTTGTACATACTTGCCGCACTTGCAAACCAACTCATATGAAGAAAAAGGTCCATCACCGAAAGCTTCCGCCCCAAGGGGCGATGCTCAACGCCCTACGCCCCGTCATCGCTTGTCTCGGCCCCGCGCTCGATGCAGGTGGGACAGCAAAGCCGCGTCTCCGAGTCCCGGCCACAGCCCTGGAAGATGAGACGGTGTTTGGGGGATCCGGGGATTGGTGATGACATGAAGCTCAAAATCCTTAGAGAAAAAGATACATGAAGCTCAAAATGAACATGTGGCACACGAAATACTGTCCAGAAGAAGCTTATATAGAGCTTTAGTATCCTGTATCCCGTCAAAGAAGAAGGACAAAAACAAAAAAAAGCTTGTCCCACTTGTCGCCTGGCATGACATCGCCAGTTACATCAGCAAGTCACACCATGGTTCTTCTCCGCATTCGATGTGTTGAAGCCAGTTGTCTTGTGCTTGGACCAAATCTGAGACATATCCTGTTTCAGGGTGCTTTCCTGGAGGGCTTTGATGGTGCCACGTGATGCCTGTTGTGAGTCTGGCCGGATAGCTTAAGGTCCATCTAGCTTGCCACATCTATCTTTGAGATGGTCAATCGTAACAACAATCGTAACAACCAAGTCATCCACGTGCTCTCAGCTGATCCTCCAGTTGACTGCTTCTCAGCCATGCAATACATGTTCTTTGCTGTACATAAACAACGGTCCTTGTCACAGTGTCAGTATGTATGTGTGCTGCGCAGCTTTTGCAAATCCTGTGATCAAAAATGTGGCCCACGTGAATCAGAGTTCAAGATCTCACTGGGTGTTTGGATCAACCCTCAGCAGTTTCAGTCGCCCGCTTTCCAGGAACTGCTTAAACTCATGGAATGAAAACAAAGGATTCAACTTTCTACATGAAAGATTCAACCCAGAAAGCCTAGCTTTCATGTGCATCCCGGCAAAAAGAGAACGAAGCGCAAACCTGAGAGTATCTGAGGCAGATGACCCTCCAGACTCTCCACTCGTTCGGACATGTCCTGAACCAGTCTATTCCGTTGAGCCACTGAAAACACGAGCCGGCTCAGTTCGGTGCGCACGAACTGGCGCAGTTCTTCGGTGGCCGAACCAAGTGACGACCAGCGAATCGGCGAGACCAGAACGGCCCAGCCGAGGCGTTGACCGTTGGACCCAAACAGCGGCGCTGTCTGGGTCGATGGCACACACCTTTGAGTCGCGTGAGGCCAAGTTCCGGAACTGGGCTGGTTGGCAGTGGTTCGATCAAATGATCAAATGGCAGTGCCAGCACTGCGCAATTTGCTAAGAAGTGGACAAAGCATGACAAAGCCAATCTGACCAAAGTCAGATTTCTGTTGGTCAAGGGTCAAGCCCCAGCATTTCCTTTTGGAAATTGCTACGGGCAAGACCAAGCATTTCCTTGGGAAATTGCTTGGTGATTTGCACTCACTCAAATGGTCTACCGTGATTCATTTTCGAACCTGCCGCATCGTCTTCGCTCCGGTCGACCCTGTGACACCTCAAAGGCCAATCACAACCTTCTCCACGTCACCGGGGACACTCGGAGCCAACGCGGCGTGGTTCTCGCTCGGCACCTCCACGTCACAGGCGGCCTCGACGCCCTCCCAGTTCTCCATCTTCGCCACCGCGGCGGTCGAGGCTCCCCCGTCGCCGAAGGTCAGGCTCAAGCGGGTCGCGCGGGTCGCGCGCTGGGCTTTGATCCGATTCAGGCGACTGCTCCGAGTGTCGTCCAGGAGCTCCAGGGAGATCAGTCCGATGCAAAAGTGGATGCGTTCCAAGTCCATGGGGTTCAACCTGCCAAAGCCTCCAGGGGTGAAGACGACTGGATGCTGGGAATTCAGTTGGGCCTCCTTTTGGATCACTCAAAAATTAGATGCAAACCAATGTCAAGTCACAAATTCAAAAACAATTGGTGACACCTCCAGGTGCTCAGAGAGCCCAAATACACACAAATACACTGACTCATAATCACCTTTCAACCACAACAAATCCTCACCTTTCTCCATCAACTCTTGTGGAGTGTTCATCAACTCAGCGGCCGTGTCTCTCAACATCTGCGAGACCAAATGAGATTGCAAACGGCTCAGGTTAAGAAACGCGTATTCCACCCGCTTCTTCCGAAGAACATGGTCTACCACAGCAAAGCTCAGAACTCCAAGCACCACCAAAAGTGCAGTGGCCATGAACATCAGAAGAAGGAAGGAGATCACCTCGTGAAAAGCCTCCGATTCCTTCATGGCGTCTAAAGTCTCCACTGATGGGGTCAGACTGATGAGCAAGAGCAACATCGACAACACCGCCTTGGCTCAACGGAACATGTGTCTTCAAAAATGGCCCTTCCTAGATTCGAGGTTCGTGGCATAACCCTCCGCCGAAACACGAAAAAAAAAATCGTGAAACGAACCAGGCCACGGTGTCCAACAAATTCAGCAATGGCAACTTCCATGGCCATGAAAAAATCTGTAGGATCAAAGACGCTGCGATGATCACGGTGCCCGCAGCAACTTGTGCAGCTGGAAAGTTGGTGGCGCACACCACGGAAAGTGAGAGCATCGGCCCACGCAGAAGGAGAGGCACGCCATACCACCAACGATCCCGTCGGAAACGATTGAAAAGGAAAGCGCTGCTGACCACAGCCTGTGTGACTGCATGGAATTGAGCTGGGGACCCAAAAGAAAAACGCGTTTGTCTAGAGCCAACACACACACACACACTTATGAATTTGCGTACTGAACTGAAAGCGGTTGCCACACGCCAGCCTAAGTGAAAAAAACTAAGAAACCAGGACAGATATAAGTACGGTGGTCCAAACCTCCTCAAAACCTGCACAGCCTCCAACTCCAAATCGACAAATCCAAAGCGACAATGCACATCTGCCGTTGATGAACCGATGCAAATGCTGGATGTCTTGTTCTACTTAAAAGCAGGGCCCGCGATGAAATGCTTCAGGTATAACGGCAGGTACGTGGATTCTGCGTCC